ACTCTGTCTCAAAAAAAAAAAAAAAAAAAAAAAAAAGTGGGGTGAAATTTTATTGTAAATGGCCAAGTTCTGTGTTATATATCCTATATAAATGCTATATATCCTCCCCCTCCCCTCAGGATGTAGAAACTGTTACTTACAGGATAAAAGTGAACTCAGAAGCAAATACCCTTGTGCTGTAGGGTAGAGGTTCTTCACACAATCAGGAATGGGTCTGTAACAAATATTTAATGACACAAACTGAAATAATTTACAGTCTGATAAGAAGTACTCTTTTTTATTCCTTAACTCCAACACCCTTGATTAGTTGTGTTCATTAAATACATCTGTGTCAATATCTTAACAGGGGTTTTTTCTTCCATTTTTATTTATGCCTCTCTTCTGTTTGAACAAATCATTTCTTTTCAAGTATGTCTTCTTCAGTCACCCTTCTATTTTGCCTTCTAAACCTGGTTATGAATTCACTTCTATTATTGAGCTTCTCTTAACTTTATCCAAATTTGCTATTTATCTCATTGCAGTTTTTCTTCAGTACTTCCTTTGCATAAAAGTAGCCTGAACTTAAATTATATACACTGTCATTTTCACCAGAAGGGCTAGCTAATTTAAAACTTGGGCGTGTTATCTTTTCTTTCCTCAAATCCTGAAGAATATAGGATAGTTTCAGAAATCACTCCCAGCTTTTCTCCAGAGTTGGTGGCAACTGATGCTTTCTTCTGACTCTTCCTCTCCTGGAGTGCCGACCTTCCTCGCTGTTGTCACATGGAAAGGCTACAGGATGTTAGACAATGTCAACAGTTCACTGTGTCTCTGGCATGAAATAAATGGACCAACCAGTATCCAAGAATATTTTTGCTTGGCTAATTGATTGTATATTTTTCCCTACTATATGGAATTTGGACTTAGCCCTTCTCATGTTAAAGATTATTCAGAGGCAGGACAGCCATGGCTGTTGTCCTTGGGATGTCCTGCTATAAAATCGGGAGTCATACCTACCTCACAGGGTAGTTGTGAAATTTAAAGAAGTTAACTTTGGTAAAGTCTCTAGCACAGTGCTTGGCACATAGTAGGGTGTGTTAATTTCTTTCCCTTCCCTGCAGGCCATTCACCTGCTCTTCCCTCTACGATTTTCCATAACACAGTTTTTACTTGGAACCAGCCTTCTGCAAAGAGTCTCAGTTTGGTTGTGTACTCCTACAACTACTATTTTTGGCTTGACTTCCCTCTCCAGCTCCCAGTGGTCCAGCCACACAGTCGCCTATTGTACCAGCTGGTTGATGTAAGTCTATCCATCCTCAGAGGAACCTAGTTACTTACCAGTAAGCTGTGTTTCTCTGAAAATGTAGCATCCTTGATAACGAAACTAGGTTTTTTCTTTTTTAAAAAACCATTAATGATGAATTATCTCTAACTTCCTTATGTGATCCTCAAATTGGAACTAGACTTAGAGAATTTAATTTGTTGTTAACGGTCTCCTAGTGAGTTCCTGAGTCCAAGACAAATGCTCTGATCAGGTGAAATGCGGAGACCCATGAGGTCAAAATTCTTTTCTCTACTCTGAGTGACATGAGATTTAATTATGTAAACTGTCAAGAATGATACATTTTCAAAGAAAACTAAGTTGCTGGTAAGTAACTGGGATTTTTGAGTAATTTTTCTGTAAGTCGATAAATAAGAATCCCACATTTGTTTTCACCAACAAATGCTTTTGCATTTGAATATTACTTCATAAATGAAAGGAATATGGTTATTAGTTACAGTTGATAGTTAAAGAATGGGATAGGTTTCTAGAGATACTAGAAATATAATGAGGTGGGGATAGACTGTCAGTTTTCTAAATAGGTGATCTCTTTGCTTTCAACAGAAATTGAAGTCTCCATTAGAGAAAAATCAGCAAATGTAGTCTGTTCATTCCAGAAACATTTTTTGAGTGCCTACTTTTTTTTTTTTTGAGACACTGTGCTGAGTACTGTTTCAAGACAGAGGTGAAGCCACACTTGGCTCAGCTGCTTTTCCCTCAGAGAGCTTATTTCCTTTGTCTTAGTGACTCTTGCGTGACTCAGAACTGAGGCGATGGGATACTGGGGTATGACAGAGGTATGGGATTAGAAGTAGTACTTAGTGTTACAGCCTGTGCTTTAATATTTTCTGTGCTTCGATAAGTTCTTTCTGTTAATGGGAAAAATCAGCTGACTTCATTCAGGATTTGCAGAGTATTTGGTATATCACTAGAGCAGCCATAAATGAAGCAAAGCCAATGCTCCTTCTTTCTCGTAGTTGAAAGGAATATTCACTCTCTAACCTTATGTGTGACTTTGGGAGTTAGGAATTAAAGCAGGTGAGTAAGTCAGAATTGGAGAGGCAGCCCACTCTCCCTTAAGCTTTAAAAGCACCTCTTCCTTCAGAAGCCACAGAATTAATTTATTGCCACCAAAGGTAAAAAAAAATCAGAAACCTTTTTTATAAGAAAACAAAATTGTTTTGTACTTGAAGTCACTGGATAGTATTTGATGCTTGTATTCCATAATTATAACCACCTCCACCCCCAAATTTACCCAGTTAAGTAGAAAGAAGGAAAGAAGACTTGGCAGTAGTAATAAGTTGTTATTGGAGGAGATACTCCTATTACATTGTCATATGTCTCTATTTTATTTTTTCATTTTTATTTTTTATTTCTTTTGAGACAGGGTCTCACTCCTGTCACCCAGGCTGGAATGCAGTGGTGTGGATCACAGCTCACTGCAGCCTTTGCCTCCTGGCTCAAGTGATCCTCTCACCTCAGCCCCTCAAGTAGCTGGGACTACAGGCACGTGCCACCTTGCCCAGCTAAGTTTTTTGTGTTTTTAGTAGAGACAGGGTTTCCCCATGTTGCCCAGGCTGTTCTTGAACTTCTGGGCTTAAGTGATCTGCCTGTCTTGGCATGCCAAAGTGGTGAGACTATAGGCTTGAGCCACTGTGCTTGGCCATGCCTCTGTTTTATATAGTAAAAACTGCATGGCTGTAGTTGTTATTTTACCCCTTGAGTACGGTAAGGGCAAGAACTACAGTGCAGTAATTAAGCTCATGGGTGTTGTAGTCAGACTTTAAATCCAGGTTTTAATCCTGGTTTTGTAATTTGCTTCCTTTCTGACTAGACAAATTATATAACTTCTCTGAACCTCAGTGTCCTCATTTGTGAAGTTTTGTTGCTAAAACTACATAAGGTTGTAATGAGGAATAATTAAGATAAGTATATAAGCACTTAGCACAGTGCCTGCAACATAGTACGTGCTCAATAAATGTTAACTGCTTTTTAAATTGGATTATTGGATGGATGGATGAAGGATTGTATCAGAGGCTAAATAACAGGAAGGGGAAAGATTGCAGGTTCTGGAGTGTTAGTAACCTGTTCACACCATCTTAGTTACTGGAGTTATGAGCCTTATTAGTATTATTATCTTTATCTTTGCCTTTTTAGAAAGCAAATTAATGGATGAATCACTGTCACAGTTCTTCCTAACTACTCTATCCTTAAACCTTCACTTCCACTAAGGAAGGAATTGTTTTGTGCTGCAGTGACTGTGATGATTGAAAGATTATCCCACTGGCCTGATGCAACCCAGTGCTGAGGGTCAGGTGTGGCCCGTATGCCAGATTTCTACTCTGAATTTCACCACACCTACCTCTGCTATTTTTAAGACATTTTAAATAAAAAATTTAAACCTTTAATATGTATGTGTGTATATATATATATACATATATATATGATTTTTTTGGTTTCATTTTATTACACTTCTTTTTTGCTCTATTTTCATTGATTGTGAATTATGAATGTATGTCTAGGATATTTTGGAGAAGGCTCTGGAGGACTTATACTTCGGCAGTGGTACTCTTTAAGAAATCATGGATTCATTGACAGGGTGGAAAGTGCTGTGGTTATTTGGGCACAGATTTTCACCATACTTCAGAGAATCAAAGATGCAAAATTTTTGACATTTTAACATCTGAAACTAACATGCATCTTAGAATCACTGTGATAAGAACACATATCTTTGTTTAGTTGGCAACATTTTTTTTCTTAGTAAAACAGAAGATAATGGTGTGCCTTGAAATCACTATCATTTTAGATTGTATGGAATATGGTATTTCAAGGGACTATGTGCAATGACACATTTTAAAAATATGATATCATGGCAATATAAGGAGTAGTAAGAGCAGGGGCTTCAGAGTCAGACTTTGGGGTTTTAAATTCTAGCCCTATAACCATGTGCAACCTTGGGCAACTTATTTTTCCTTTCATTACCATAGTTTTCTCACCTGTAAAATGGGGGCTAAGAACAGTAACCCATCTTACAGTGTTATGAGGATTAAATATAAGACATGTAATGTGTTTAAAATAGCCTAGCACATAGAAAGTACTTAGTCATATTAGCGAATATTACGAATTCAGACATTACAGTTTTGCAGAATAGATTCGAATTTACTTTGTTGTGTTTGAAACTCAAACCCATTACCCTTAATATTTATATATCATCTGATAATATCAGCAGTTAACACTTGGATTTTTAAAAAGGAAGATAAAGATAAGGAAGATTAACCTAACAAGTTTTCTTATTCTTGTTAAGTAAGATTGAAGTGGCATATTTGGTGTATATATATATTACTCTTTGTGGTTGGAATGTAAGAGACACGAAGGATGAGATAGGAAATGTATAGTGAAAGCATGGATCAGTTAATCAGATTGCTGAAGCTCACATAAGTACAGTTTTTGATTCTTACTGATATTGGTAAGTATGGGAAGGGTTGGAGGTTTTGAAAATTTACAAAATTTGAAGAATTTTTCACCTTAAGTAAAAGAGAGAAAAGAGAATCCTATTTGGTTTATATGAACGTAACTGTCCTAGGTAAGGACATTTTTTTTCAAAATTAAATAGGTAGGCAGCATCTCTTTACAATATGATGGCTACAGCTTAAGGTTGTCCTTCTATTCTTAAGAGTCAATTTTATTTTTTCTGTTTTAGTGTTCGGTGACCAGTGACTTGGATTTTCCAACACAAGTCATCCCATTAAAGACTCTGAATGCAGTTGCTTCAGTACCCATAATGTATTCTTGGTCTCCCCTACAGCAGAATTTTATGGTATGTAAATAAGACATCTTCTGCTTGTTTGATAATAACTTATTTGAAATAAAAAAGCATAGATAATTTTATTGTCAAGGTGACTCAATCAAGACAGTATAAATTTTAAAAAGCTAACATAATAATAAAAAGTAATTTAAAAAATGGATTAATATAGTCTTTTTAAGACGTCTGCAGTATTACTCTTTATACTCTCCAAAGGAAAAATGTTAAGCAGTAACCATACCTAGGATTACAAATACTTAGAAGTTGGGCTGGGCATTGTGACTCATGCCTATAATCCCAGCACTTCAGGAGGCTGAGGTGGAAGGATGGCTTCAGGGAGGCGGAGATTGTAGTGAGCTGATATTATGTCACTGCACTCCAGCCTGGGTGACAGCCAGACCTATCTCAGAAAAAAAAAAAGGTAATGAAGCTTATAGTTCTTATCCTTAAAAAAGCCAGTGTCCTATAATCTCAGTCTTTGAGTTTTTGTTAATTGAGAACTATTTAAAATAATTTTAGGTAGCATTTTATTGTGATAATATACATAGGGCTTATAAAACACAAACTTAAACATATTTCCATAGCTAACTATGACCCAGTAGCTTTTGTAATAACATGCTAAAGAGAAACCGAAGCATGTGTTCTTGACTTGTATTGCTAAATAAAAAATACATTGTTTCATTGCTTAATTGATATATAAAGTGGGAAGGCTAATAAAATGTTGACGGAAGTCCTTGGTGGACCTGCTTTAGGAAATTGCTTATTAGATTAAAAAAATAGATATTTCCAATATTTTTAGTAAGTTTTATACTTTGTACAGTAGAGTATCCACTTCAATTACTCTTCCATAATTGTGTAAATTTGAATGTACTTTGAGAATTACATTGCAAGACCTTAAGGGAAGTTTTATGTTTTCACAGACTGAAATTCTAGAATATAGTATTTACATTTATCAATAAATATAATTTGTGAATCATCCATGGATTTTGCTGGCCCATCGTGGGTGACAGAACCAGACTCTGTCTGATTTTGCTGACCGAAGCAGATTAGGCACACAATTTTTATTATAACTAGGATATGTTTTGGAGAACAGGATTATGTGGATATAATTGGGAAGACAAAATAGCTAAGTGTCACTTAATTTTGGCTTAGATATAAAGAAATCAGCTCCTAGTTTAAATGAGATTAGTGCTGTAATCCTAGCACTTTGGGAGGCCAAGGTGAGTGGATCACCTGAGGTCAGGTGTTGGAAACCAGCCTGGCCAACATGGTGAAACCCAATCTCTACTAAAAATACAAAAAATTAGCCGGGTGTGGTGGCACATGCCTTTAATCCCAGCTACTCAGGAGGCTGAGGCAGGAGAATTGCTTGAACCTGGGAGGTGGAGGTTACAGTGAACTGAAATCGTGCCATTGAGCTCCATCCTGGGCAACAAGAATGAAACTTCGTCTCAAAAAAAAAAAAAGGATTAGTGCAAGTGAAATGAGATAAAAACAGGCCTCTAGTGTGTACATCATCTTGAATTTGAATATATGAATATATTAAAATATACATTTTAATTATAATGCCCCATTTATCCCAATTGTTCTTTTCCTTGTCTAAGGTCCTGTTATCTTTATGAACTCTCCAGTTGTCCTAAATTTGTTACCTAGGGATTATTTGAGATTTTGTCCACACTTCCTGCTTGCTACTAGTTTGTGTGGGCTTTCCCAGCGTGTTATTCCCTGTGGGCCATGGTCACAGTGGAGGGCCAAGCCTATACCATCTCACCCTTTTAAGAGCTGCTGTGTACTCCCAGTCAGTCTCAGCCAGTTCATTCTGCTTATCAGAACTATCTTTCTAAAATTCCATTTTTAGCAAATATCTTTTTCAAAGTCCTCTTAAGACTTAGACTTGTCTTCACTTGGAATTAGTCTCTTTAAGCATGTACTTCAGAACTGTGCAGTCTTTATCTATAATTACTGTCATTTTTATTCTTCATTGAAAATTCTCTTCCTCCCATGAATGTCAGCTTTCTTTACCTTGAAATCTTAAGTACTCCATTCTCTTAACTTTTGATTGGCTCTTCTTTCTTCTCTCTTGTCTTCCAAAGCTTGATATAAACTCATCTATCATCTTTACTAGCACTGTCAACTTTGATACTAATCTCATTCATCTAAATATTGAAATATGTTTTTATAGAATGTTCTTATTTTACATATAAGCACATATCCTTTGGGCATAAACTTGATTGGACCATCAATACTCTTATGTCCCTAGAATTTTATTATCTTGGTTATCTTAAATTTTTTTTTTCTTTTTACCTTGAACTATTATGAATTAACAGATATCTTAATAACTGGATCATCAAGTGGAATGTAGGAGCCTTATGATAGTTTTTTGGTATGGGTTTTTACAGTTGATCTTGATATACTATATTTCATTAAGACAACTCCCCTCCTTGTATTAACGTATGAAATAAGAGAGTGCCTTAAAACTGATGATGGCTGGGCATGGTGGCTTATGGTGCCAGATACCTGTAATCCCAGCACTTTGGGACCAGCCTGGGCAGGATACTGAGACGCTCATCTCAATAAAAAATGAAACAAGAAAATGAACTGGTTATGTCTTTTCGTAATGTAGAGCATATTTTTCTTTCTTAGAGGTATGTAAAATTATAGTAAGTTTTAATGATTGATGACAAAGTACAGTATTTTTTCTTGAATTAAATTCTTTTTCTTTCAGCAGTTTTCGCAGATATGCTTATTCTTTGCTTTTATTCTCTGATATTATTCTTTGGTAGCTTTTAGAGTTTGCTCTCTGACTAGTATTTTAAATCTGGAGAACTGAGTAAAGACATCTTCATATGAAAAAAGGTTGTATTTTAGTTATTTCACATTTGATAGTTAGAATAAAGCTGCTTTTTAAATATTTCTTTTTCCTTTTAGGTGGAAGATGAAACTGTTTTACATAACATTCCTTATATGGGAGATGAAGTGTTAGACCAGGATGGTACTTTCATTGAAGAACTAATAAAAAATTATGATGGAAAAGTACATGGGGATAGAGGTGAGCCATATGCTCCTCTTGGGAAAAGGGGCTAACATGGATACTTTTGTTTATTAAGCATAGGGCTTGAGAAAAATTTTAGTGTTAAAATTAAGTTTTGCACTGAACTATAAGGGACTGATCTGGGCCCAGGCCTAAAATTTTTAGCATTTTCCCTATTTTTGGGAAAATTAGTTAGGAGGCTCATGGTTGGCCACCTGATAATTACACATGGTTGGTTATGACATAAATTATAATCGCAATTACATGTAAATTAAATAGAAATTGAGCATATGTAGATTTTAAGATTCTTTAGTAGTAAAGTTAGTTAGGATTGGGGCTCTGCTTATGTGGCATATGGGGGCTCTAGCACCCCTACTGCTCAAAAATACCTGTCCTCTAGGAACTACAGTACTTCAAATTCAATCATTAGAGTTATGGGTTCAGTTTTTTTTTTTTAATGTCCAGGAGGCCCTGTTAAAGTGTCTGAAAGGGTAATATTTGTAATATCATCATCCATTGTCATTATCAATAGAAAGCGGGCTCTGAAGTGATCAGTTAAAGAATGGTAAGAGGCTAAAGCCACGATCAGTACCTAGAGGATGTGGTTTTATAGTAGAAACTTTTGGGGAGGGGCTATTCAACAGAAAATAGCAGATATTAAAGATAATTCTGCTTTCTAACTTTGTCTAAGGCCAGTCTTGAAAATCTTACATTTTCCTCCCCTCATGTCAATAATAATGTTTTAGTGCTAGTGACTGGGCTATGCCTGTTATGTCCAAAGTAGAAAAAGGATCCATAAACTTTTGTCATTACTACTTCTCCTGTGTGATTCTGACATTTGATGAATTTCAGAATGTGGGTTTATAAATGATGAAATTTTTGTGGAGTTGGTGAATGCCCTTGGTCAATATAATGATGATGATGATGATGATGATGGAGATGATCCTGAAGATAGAGAAGAAAAGCAGAAAGATCTGGAAGATCACCGAGATGGTATGCCTGATGATTAGGATTCTGTGTAGCCAATACAGCTTTCTTTTGAAAACAGTAGAAAGAGTAGAAGGAGGGCTTAGTTTCTTTCTCTTTTTTTTCTTTCTTTGTTAAATATCACATTGATAGCAGTATAATTAAAATTGCATATTATGGCTGGTCAGGGTGGCTAACATTGTAATCCTAGCATTTTGGGAGACCAAGGTAGGCAGATTGCTTGAACCCAGGAGTTCAAGACCAGCCTGGGCAACATAGCAAGACCCCCACCCATCTCTACTAAAAAACGAAAAAATGAGGCAGGGAGATTGCTTGAACCCAGGAGGTATAGGCTGCACTGAGCTGTGATTGTGCCACTGTACAATCTGGCTGGGCAATAGAGTGAGACCCTGCCTTAAAAAAGAAAAAGAAGGCTGGGTGTGGTGGCCCACACCTGTAATCCTAGCACTTTGGGAGGCCGAGGTGGGTGTATCACGACAAGGTCAAGAGATCAAGACCATCCTGGCCAGCAGAGTGAAACCCCGTCTCTACTAAAAACACAAAAATTAGCTGGGTGTGGTGGTGCTCACCTGTAGTCCCAGCTACTCGGGAGGCTGAGGCAGGAGAATCGCTTGAACCCAGGAGGCAGAGGTTGCAGTGAGCTGAGACTGCGCCACTGCACTCCAGCCTGACAGAACGAAACTCTGTCTCAAAACAAAAAAAGCAAATGAAAAAGAAAAAAAGCGTATTACTTGCAACATTATTTTCAGTTTAGTACCTTTGTTTCCTTTGGCTAGGGAAAAACATAATTTTTTGTGTGCTTCACTCGGCATTGTTTTATTATGATATTCACTATGTACAAGTTGTGTACTAATCAGGTTCATATGCACCAGCTCACTTAATCCTCATAATGGCTTCATGAGATGGATGTTTTTATTATATCCATTTTATAGTTGAGGGGATAGATTTAGAGAGGTTAAGTAACTTACAAGATTACACTACTGGGAAGAAACAGAGCCAATAGTTGCTGTTCTCTACTTGGCAAAGCTTATGTTAAGGCAACAAAGAAGAATTTGGTGAGGGAAATAGCAGTTTTGTTTTTTTTTTTGATACAGAGTCTTGCTCTGTTGCCAGGCTGGAGTGCAGTGGCGTGATCTCAGCTCACTGCAGCCTCTCCGCCTCCCTGATTCAAGTGATTGTCCTGCCTCAGCCTCTCAAGTAGCTGGGACTACAGGCGCACGCCACCATGCCCAGCTAATTTTTGTATTTTTAGTAGAGACGGGGTTTTACCATGTTGGCCAGGATGGGCTCTATCTCTTGATTTCATGATCCGCCCACCTTGGCCTCCCAAAGTGCTGGGATTATAGGCATGAGCCACCGGGTCCGGCTGGGAAATAGCAATTTTTTTTTTGGAGATGGACTCTTGCTCTGTTGCTCAGGCTGGAGTGCAATGGTGAGATACCCGCTCATTACAATCTGCCTCCTGGGTTCAAGTAATTCTCCTGCGTGAACCTATTCCAAGTAGCTGGGATTACAGGCGTCCACCACCATGCCTGGCTAATTTTTTGTGTTTTTAGTAGGGATGGAGTTTTACCATGTTGGTCAGGCTGGTCTCAAACTTCTGACCTTGTGATCCACCTGCCTTGGTCTCCCAAAGTCCTGAGATTACAGGCACGAGAGACTGTGCCCGGCTGGAAATAGCAATTTCTAAGAAGCATATTTCAGAAAGAGAATTTAAAAAGGCACCTTAGTGATCATCTAGTTCAGTCAGTTCCTTCATTTTACAGATGAGTTAACAGACTCAAGAGGTAAAGTGATCACTCTTGGTTACAAAATCAGTTAGTAGCAGAGCTGGGAGTAGAACTTAGGTTTTCTGCTTGACAGTGCTCTTAAAGCTTTTCATATTTGAGTTTGAATTTTGTTTTTGACTGACTGGTATTCCACAGACACATGTAAAATACGGGAAGTAAGCAAAATACAAAGTTGATGATTTCTTAGAAAATCAGCTTTGTTATAGAGACATAGTTGGGTGGAGAAAATCAAAGATCGAAAACTTATTTCCCTTTTTTTTTTTCTTTCATATTCTCCTGTTTAGATAAAGAAAGTCACCCACCTCGAAAATTTCCTTCCGATAAAATTTTTGAAGCCATTTCCTCAATGTTTCCAGATAAGGGCACAGCAGAAGAACTAAAGGAAAAGTAAGATTTGTTCCTTTGAGGCAATCTTGCCCTGTTTGGTATGTAACTCACCATTTTGGTTTATTACAAATGGAATCAGTGTAGCGGATGAGCCACTACACTTTGTTGACAATGTTTGCAAGATACTTGAAGCAACATATATTCCTGTGGTACTCTGCACTACAAAATATTTACTGTAGATAGAATAAATACATGTGTATAACTTATATAGACACATAAACCCATATATACATAATTTACAGTAGTACATTTACAGGAAAATTATCTGGATACCGGTAGAAATTTTAGTACAGTTGGTGTTTAATTAAAACTAATATATCCTTTTCAATGATATATTTGAATAAATCAATGAATTTGATTCTTGATAACACCATGCATAATGTTTAGTTGGCTCTTTAAATAAAGATTGTTGTAGGTTAGAGGCATTCCTTTGTGTTTTAGGCAAGATAAACATCAAAAGTATCACATGGAAACCTTTAGAAACTTGTTTTCAAAAAAGTGATTTTTGTTTCATGTTTACTTAAATTTTTCTTGGTTAATGTCAGATATAAAGAACTCACCGAACAGCAGCTCCCAGGCGCGCTTCCTCCTGAATGTACCCCCAACATAGATGGACCAAATGCTAAATCTGTTCAGAGAGAGCAAAGCTTACACTCCTTTCATACGCTTTTCTGTAGGCGATGTTTTAAATATGACTGCTTCCTACATCGTAAGTGCAATTATTGTACGTTTTCATTTTCTATCTTTGTTGTGGAATTATGTTTTAAAGCAGCTTGGAGAGTGCTATCATTTATTACAACTAGAATTTATTGTTTAACCTTGTATTTGAAAAATATATTTAGACCTCAGTATTATTATTTTTACGTTGTTGCTTGAGGATTGCTCTGAAATCTTTTGCACGTATTTCATTTGTACTACCATTTTCCACTAATACAGAATTCAGGTCAGTGATTTTTCCCCCCAATCGAAAGTGCTAACTAAGCAGTTGTTTTATGATAAAACTGTTATTATGTACTGATAGCCCAGAGCAACATTGTTGATATTGATGAACAAATTGTGTTGAATAAGAAATTGGCCAAAGAAATGTTCAGGTAAGTGCTTGTCAATTTAGGGTAATTTTTTTTGTTTTTTGCTGTCTTAGGTAAGTTTTGAAAAATACCTGCATTTGAATACAAGTAAAACAAAACGTTCTTAGTGAAATTAAAGGATGGTGTATACAATAATACTTTTTCTCCGTGACATTTCTAGACAATGTGGTTTCTTAGTAAATTTGGTAATTGAATTGTAATTGGTAATTGAAACTAGTAAGTGCAGTTTAAAAGCATCAACTACTTTTGAGGCACATATTTTGAAAATGTATTTCATAGTTCCTTATTTTCGTAGAGTAATTCGCTTATTATAGTTTAGTCTTTCCTATGTTGTATTTTACTGTGTCTGTCTATGGCATGGTAATTTCTTTCGGAGCTTTGACCCCATGTAAAATCACTTTCCCCTGTACTAAATGGCCCTACATTGCTTTGCTGGTCTCAGTTCCTGTGCCTGCCATTTACAGATTGATTTCTCCTCATTCACCAATGGTACATCTTTTTAAGCTTGCTAAGCAGCTGTTCTCACTTCCTCCTAAGTTTTTGCTGTGTCTGCTTATTTTTGCTGCAGCTAATAATTTGTTGAGTGATGTATACATTGGTCTGAAAATGTTTTGTTTTTGTATGTGACACAGTGGTTTAGTTATCTTAAAATGGAAAAAACTTGAAGTAGGTTTTTAGAATTATCATTACATCTTCATCTCCTTCTTGTCTGAACTCCTCCTCATCTAGTTTAAACTGATTTAGTGGTTTTAATAATCTGTAGTAGGTCATATGTTTGTTGGTTCAGCCAGTGGACAGTTAAGCCCTTGAAATAGTTGTCTTAAATTTCATTTTAATTCCTATTCACACCATCAATTTATGAATTACATCCAGTTTTTAATCAAAATATTGTAAATTGCGGCTGGGTTCGGTGGCTCATGCCTGTAATCTCAGCACTTTGGGAGGCCGGGATGGGCGGACTACAAGGTCAGGAGTTTAAAACCAGACTGCCCAACATGGTGAAACCTCGTCTCTATTAAAACATACAAAAATTAGCTGGGCATGGTAGTTCGTGCCTGTAATCCCAGCTACTTGGGAGGCCGAGGTAGGAGAATTGCTTGAACCGGGACCCAGGAGGTGGAGGTTGCAGTGAGCTGAGATCGCGCCACTGCACTCCAGACTGGTACAGAGTGAGACTCCATCTCAAAACAACAACAACAATAACAACAACAAAAAACCAAATATTGTAAATTGCATGCATGTATCGCTGTAGCAAAAGAATAGAGTAGGAGCTCTGTTTTAGAGTCATTGAAAGGTCCTTCCAATTTGTTTATAGATGTAGCATTTAATAAAGTTTTTTGCTATAAAAATGAATCATAGAAGTAGGACACTACTTTTAAACATTGTAACAGTTTTTTTATTGTTCTGTTTGGAAATGAGCCCAGAACTTTGAGGCTGCAGTGAGCTATGATTGTGCCGTTGTACCCCAGCCAGGCAACAGTGAGACCCCATCTCTTTAAAAAAAAAAAAAAAAAAAAAAAAAAAGAAGGGGTATGAAAATGTGTACAATGAAGTCTCCCAATGACTTTCTGTTCCCATGCATCAAATTTTTACTTCACTCCTCCCACTTTTATTAGTAGTTAATCACTTTTATTAGGTCTCTTGTATTTTTTACAGTTTCATTGGCAAGTATAAAGATATTCTTTTTTTTTTTCTGACCATCTTATTGAAATGGTGCCATAGCATTCAGGCTTTTCCCTTTTTTGGGATAAGGATAGGATTTAACATTGTAGATACTAGCCTTATCTGTATAGCTGCATGGTCTGTGCTATAGGAGGTTCCAGAACTTACTGGACTTGTCTCTAATAGTGACCATTTGGATTGTTTGGAGCTTTATGCTGTAATGGTGCCACAGTGAAATCACCTTGCAAATTTGTACCCATTTCACACAAGTTCGAGTTTTCGTGAAAAACTCTGTTTAGGTATTGCCAAATGACCTCCCTATGGGGCCACAGCAGTTTAAAGCCTGACCAGCAAAGTCAGACAGACCTACCCATAGAAGGTGTTACCAAACTGATTTTGATTTTAAAATTGATTTTATAAGTGAAAAACGGCTTTTAGCATTGATTTTAAGTTCTGGTTTTTCTTTGTTTTTTAAATCTCTGCTTCCCACAGGTGATAAGCCTTGTTTTAATACCTGTTTTTTTTTCCCCCTTTGAATGAGGGTAGGATCCTCCTATATGTTGAAGAGTGAACTATTTTTCTTTGTTTTTTTTTTTTTTTTGTTTTTTGTTTTTGTGAGACGGGGTCTTGCTCTGTCACCCGGGCTGGAGTGCAGTGGCATGATCTTGGCTCACTGCAATTTCTGCCTCCTGGGTTTAAGTGATTCTCTTGCCCCAGCCTCCTGAGTAGCTGGGATTACAGGTGCTCACCACCTCGCCTGGCTCATTTTTGTACTTTTAGTAGAGACAGGGTTTTGCCATATTGGCCAGGCTGGTCTCAAACTTCTGACCTCAGGTGATCTGCCCACCTCGGCCTCCCATAGTGCTAGGATTACAGGTATGAGTCACTGTGTCTGGCCTATTTTTATTCTTTTGCTCATAGGTCTTTTTGATATCTTAGGAGCTTTTTTGTATAATCAGGAAATTAGGTTTTTTGAAATCTGAGTTGTATTTTTTTCCAGTTTATTTGGTAAAAGTTCCATAAGCAAAGTTTAGCCTTTTCTTTTTTTTGGAGACAGAGTCTTCCTTTGTCACCCGGGCTGGAGTGCAGTGGTGTGATTGATCTTGGCTCACTGCAGCCTTCACCTCCTGGTTTCAAGCGATTCTTGTGCCTCAGCCTCCGGAGTAGCTGGGACTATAGGCATGTGCTACCACACCCAGCTAATTTTTGTATTTTTAGTAGAGACGGCATTTCATCATGTTGACTAGGCTGGTCTCAAACTCCTGACCCCACGTGATCCGCCTGCTTTGGCCTCTCAAAGGGCTGGGATTACAGGCGTGAACCACCGTGCCCTTTCAGTTTAAACATTTTTTGAAAAGTAGTTGAATTTATCAGTTAGCTTTCTCATTCTAAGATTATAAAGGATTTTCACTATTTTTTCTAGTATGTTTTAGGCTTCATTTTTTAAACATACAAATCTTTGATCCATTTGGAGTTTAATATGATGTAGATTATAAATCTGATTCCTCCTTCTTATCTCCAAAGTTGCCTAGTTGTTTCACTTACTGAAAAGTTCAACTTTCACTGCTTTGAGATATTTTCTTCATTGCCTCTTTAGCATATGTATTTGGTTTTCTCAACATTGTGTTCTTATAGTCTGTCTATTTATGAAGCACCATTCAGAGATCTCCTGGCAATCCTTGTTTTTCTGTACAAATTTATTTTTAGACAGTGTCTTGCTCTGTCACTGAGGCTGGAGTGGTGCAGTGGCACAGTCATGGCTCACTGCAGCCTTGATTTCCTGAGCTCAACCAATTCTCCCACCCCAGGCTCCTGCCTAGCTGGGACTACACTGTTGGCTCCTTCCTTCTTCCTTTCCCTTTCCCCTACCCCTTCGTCTCCCCCTCCCTTCTTTCTTCTCTTTTCTTTTTCTTTTCAGGTCTCACTGTGTTGCCCAGTCTGGTCTTGAACTCCTGGCCTCAAGTGATCCTCCTGCCTTGGCCTCCCAAAGTGCTGGGATTACAGGCATGAGCCACTGCACCTAGCCTATATACATTTCAAAGTCTGTCTAGTTTTTTTTTTTTTTTTAAATTATTTGTATGCTTGTTGGAATTTCATTAAATTTATAAATGACCTAACTTTTTTTAAAATTTAAGGGTCTGACCATATGATCACCTCTCTGTGTTTTTTAATTACTTCTTTAGTTTTCTTTATATAACTCTTGTAATTTTTTTGTTGAGTATTTCTAGGTATTAAAACTTGTTGCTGTTGTTGGGCTTTTTTTGCATTCTGTCTTCTGTTTTGTACCCTGCTGCTACCTCACTGCATCATCATCATGTTTATCAGTTTCTCAGTGCATTCTTAGGAGTTTTCCAGCTGTTTAATTATGCTATCTGTAGTTATTTATGGTTTTGCCATCTTTCTGGTCTTTATAACTGAAGCTTCTTTCTCTTTTCTACCTCCTTATTTATTGTTTGATTGGGCGGGGGGACTTTTGGTCCAGGGGACTTTCTGATTTAGAAAAAAAAAAAAAAAAAACACAAAAACCTGGAAAGCCTGCTAGACAAATTCTCAAAGAGCTGTAACTGTCTTTTCTACGTACTTTAGCTTGTATTTTCAGTACAGTTTAAAAACTAGTAGTGCTGGTAAAGATAAATGTTCTGTCTCTTCTAGATGAGTTTTGGAAAATTATTCTTTACATTTAGGTTTTGAGACTTGTATAACGTTTGTGTTCTCTAATGATCGTTTTATTTTTGTGAATATTCTTGTTTCCTATGTATTTCATTGTCACTTTTTTGTTAATTGGTTTATATATTTTATTTAAATTATGTATTTTTTTCTTTAGAGAACCAGCTATAGTGTTAGTTTAACTCATAAACAAAAATAATTGTATTCAGGTTCCTAAGTGAATGCAATTTAGCACCAAATTAGTCATGGTGTTAGGCTGTCTGGAGTCTAGTTGATCACACATTTGAAACAGAATCTGAGCCTTGAATTTTCTTCTTTAAAAACTTTGTCCTATTTTTTTTTCTTTCTTTTCTCATCAGTCTTTAAGTATGGCTTTTTATAACTAAAAAATTTGTTTTGTGGAAATGTAACTTGTTTTTAATTCAAATTAATTTTCCTCTTGTATAATTCTGAATAGTCCATTTCCAGCATTTGCCTTTTGTACATGGGGGAAGCAAGTTTTTTGCAAGAAATTGTCTGAAGTTTGTGTAGCTGTTAGTGTTCACACCATTTTCATGAAGCAGTACATCACCATTTGAATCTTTACGTTATTTTGGAATTTTAGGTTTCAAGTGGTGTATCTTTTTAAAACCTGTGTATTGACATCATAATTTTCTGTGGAAAGACACTGTAAGCTCTCACCAGGTTCTTGGACTGGGTATGATTCCGAGGAACTGAATATTAGTAATTAGGACTGTCGTCTTTATCTTTAAAAATGAGTTTTTACAATTGGTATCTCTTTCTGCTTCCCATTTGACAAGCTGATTGCTGACCTTTCTTTTGAAATAAGAAATTGTATGTCAGAATTCTTTTGATTAAAAATAGGAAATCTGATTTAATTGTAGAGGGAATATCAACCGCTTAAATGGAGAAAGATTCAATTTAAGTAAATGTTTATAACCATAGTTATGTGCATCAATTATACTTGCAAGGAGAAAAAATGAGAAATCACAAATGATTCCAGAATTTACTGTTTTTCCTTCCTGCTAAATGGCTGGAGGAAGAGGAATGGAGAATGCATTGTGATCGTTCAGTAAGAGCTTGAAGGAAAGTTGTGTAAAGTAATGTAAACCACATATTAGCAAGATTATAATCTATTAATCTTAATGTTAAAAATAATGAAAAAGTATTTTATAGTTATATTAGAGTCATTATGTTTCATTTATTTCGCAGCTTTTCATGCAACACCCAACACTTACAAGCGGAAGAACACAGAAGCAGCTCTAGACAACAAACCTTGTGGACCACAGTGTTACCAGCATTTGGTAAGACTTAGTGCCTTATTATTCCAGAGGGTACTTGAAAGGACTTAATTTTGCACTTTGGTGGAGGTGATCAAGTCAGTGTTAATGTTGTTTGCACCCATGCTGTTATGGGCCATATGATAGACAGTTTTCTCACCCATGTTGTTTCTTCCATAGCTCATGTACTACACATTTTAGTCTTTCATTAATGTGGTATTATTCTTTTTAAAATCTGTGTTATCTCTTCAGCAACATTTCAAGGTCTTTAGGATCAAGGACTCTTATGCCTTCCACAAAGTCTATGAGAGTGTGACATAGATAGTCCACTTAGAAACCAGGCAGTCAGTAACCATGTACGGTAGTAGATCCCAAGCCCTTCTCATAGCCATCCCTCTGCTTGAGTTTTAGATGCACTGTCATTTCAGGTATATGATAGATCCCACAGATTTTTTTTTTTTTTAATGATGGAGAAAAGGTAAGGGGTTAGGAAAATATGAGGTAGAAAAGTTGTTTTTTTTACGGGTACTCTCTTATTTTTACCATTTCCCCTCTTTGAACCAAGCCACTCCTACCTAGGAACTAAATGGGTATATATTGCCTGTTGGATTTTGGACAGAAGATTCATTGAATGGCACCTGCAGAAGGTATCCTATTTTTAAGCAATTTGGTTTTTGTAGAATGAAGTATAAGACTGTTGGCTGCTGTCAAACTTCTCCCTTCTATTTCCATTAAAAAGAAAAAAAATGGAATTCTTGAGCACTGTTTTATGATATTCTTTACAAGGCAGAATTTTGTTTGGCTCATCTGAAATCTTTCTGTGGTCTCTATAAACCATGCTCTTACCATTGTTTTATACTTTGAGACTGGATTACTGTACTTCATAATGCCAAATGTAACCCTCACAGTCTTGTTTCTGAAGTTCCTTTTATGTCTTCCTGTGGCTCTGTATCCTTCACAGGAAAAAAAAAGGTTGGATGTTTTAATAGTAAGACAGGAAGTGATAAAGTCAAGCATGTTTGTGTTTTGTGTTCTTGTATACTTTAAATATTAATATGAAGATGTATGCAATATCTTAAACTCTACGTAGGTATTCTGACTCCGTGCACATTATATAGATGATTCTTCTGTAAAGATTCACTTTTACATAGACTGTATGTCCATAGAAATAATTAACTTTATTACATGAAGTGTATTTCATACTTTATCTTCTTATATTTTAACTTAATTATAGCCTGTTAATATATTTTACAAATTCACCATTTAAAACTATCTTGCCTGATTTTTGTACCATCCTAGGAATATATAGGACCCATGTTTCTCTTTCTGAAATTTTCAGACTATTTAAAAGCAGATCAAAAGTATATTAGACATGCAAATGATTATTTGTGATAAATGGATAATGTGATAAATTTTTTGACTAACTTTGCTTATACAGTATTTTTTTTTCTCTTCCATCAAAATCAGTTTTAGAACTTTGCCCTGATGTCGACATTTTTCATTTCGTAGGAGGGAGCAAAAGAGTTTGCTGCTGCTCTCACTGCTGAGCGGATAAAGACCCCACCAAAACGCCCAGGAGGCCGCAGAAGAGGACGGCTTCCCAATAACAGTAGCAGGCCCAGCACCCCCACCATTAATGTGCTGGAATCAAAGGATACGGACAGTGATAGGGAAGCAGGGACTGAAACAGGGGGAGAGAACAATGATAAAGAAGAAGAAGAGAAGAAAGATGAAACTTCGAGCTCCTCTGGTAAGACACGTCTAATAATTGGGTTTTACTGTTCTGTGAAGTCTCATAATGTGAGGATTAAGGATATATAATGCACTGAATAATTTTCTTAGTTTTCAGTATAATGAGAAATCTAAGACCAGTGCTATCTCAAGAATGTGTAGCTGCATTGCTTCTGTTTCCTGCCTCCATGTGGCCCTACCGTAGCTTGTGATGTTTGCCCTGCTTGGTTGTTGGAAAGTTGATGCAGTTTATTCTCATTCTTTGTGCCATTTTTCTTTTTCGATCTTTCTTAGATAGGGAATAATGGAATTTGGATCATTTGGTTTAATATTCTTGATGTTCTATCAGTAGTTTTGGTTAGAGAGAAAATGTGAACTACTGATAAGTTAGTATTTTATGGATTGGATTTTAGTTGTCCTTGTCTTGTTTTTTTCTTTAAGCACATCCTGAATTTTACATCTTAATATTATTTCATCATTTATTAACCAGTGCTTACATTTGGTTTTGTAGAAGCAAATTCTCGGTGTCAAACACCAATAAAGATGAAGCCAAATATTGAGCCTCCTGAGAATGTGGAGTGGAGTGGTGCTGAAGCCTCAATGTTTAGAGTCCTCATTGGCACTTACTATGACAATTTCTGTGCCATTGCTAGGTTAATTGGGACCAAAACATGTAGACAGGTAAGATATCCGATAAAAATGTTCTTAAAAGAGCCTCAAACATAGGGATAAAAATGTACTCATTGTCCAAACAAAGAAAATTCTTGGTTATTACTAAGTTCCTCTTCATCTCCTAAAAATTATTTTTTCTTCTCAAGAGGGAATTGAATGAAAATTATTCTTCATGTACGTTACAGAATTTTCCCACTGTAGACATTTAAGGTTAGATTTTAAAAGCTAATAAGAATTTAAATTTAGCATCACAGTTCTTGACCGGAATATAATTACAGCCACCCCCAATGTGAGGGTAGAGACAGTGATGTCTGTTATATCCTGAGCATCTAGCAGTGTCACAGAAGGGACAAAAACATTTATCTGGTATGCATGAGTATAAGAATGGTTTGCCTTAATAAGACTGTCCTCATGGCTCTGTAACTGTGCCTCTTGTCAGGTGTATGAGTTTAGAGTCAAAGAATCTAGCATCATAGCTCCAGCTCCCGCTGAGGATGTGGACACTCCTCCAAGGAAAAAGAAGAGGAAACACAGGTGAGTCTGCCAGGAACCTCTTAGAGAAGTCAACACAGATAGACACTGCCCGCGAGGCCCTTCCTAAGGGCTGCTGTTGGTTTCTACTTAGTCTGTTTTTAAAAACCTTAAACTGCCATCAAAAACAGATCTGTGGAATCTTATTTCCACTGGGAATTGCTAGTATTTTTCTATAAGAATACAGCAGCCTTCAGTATATTTTGCATGTTAAGAGTCCTTAAAATTATGGTTACCAGACTGCATTTGAGTTAAGAAAAACTTACTTAGTAGTTTTTGCAGTGAAGGCTACATAATTATTTTAACAACATGAAATGTTCTGTCTTTCTGATGTGAGCTCTGGGCCAGTTTTTAGAAGTATCTTTTATTCTAGGAGCTTGAATTTCTACATTGTGTGGCACTGCATTCCGATACTCTCAATAAGGCCTGTGGGAATGTTTTCAGGCTGGTTTGATTTATATCTGCTCTAATCTCCCCATACCTCCACCTCACATTTTTAAAAACAAGAAACAATTGGGTAGGTAAGGGTGCAGTTAGATTATGCTTCACAAATTATGTACAGGCTCGTGTTACATTTTGTTACTTTAAAGAAAATGTAGGGTCAACCCAATTTAGAATTTTTAAAAATCAAATGTTTTTTCTCCCCCATAAGAATTTAGGCTTTAGGAGATGCTTCTGAATTTTTGGTTGAATTATTTCTGACCATGTAGTTTACTTGATTGGTTAATGATGCCTGAAATTAGAGAAAGTGATCAGTACCATCCACATCAGAATAAATCAACAGACAGACACACCTGCTGCTTTGTGCAGCATTGGGAGCTCAGAGGTCTTGACCAGGAGTCATGGATAAACACAAGAAATGACGTCTTGCCACACCTGGGGCAGCCTGAGCTATCAAGCTGTTTGAATTGCTCCAAACTGATGGCAAGAATTAGCTGGGGGAGGGCATGACTCTTGGCTTCAATGCACTATGTGTTCATGGCACAGAGAGATCCAGTCAGGCAGCTCTCTCTTGTATTTGTAGCTTCCCTGCAGAAGTTTATGTTTGATTTTGTTTGTGTTTTTGCAGGTTGTGGGCTGCACACTGCAGAAAAATACAGCTGAAAAAGGGTTAGCATCTTTCCATTCCCCTCGTCATTGGCTTAACAATGTCTGCTTTGTTCTCATTTGTTTTAGAATAGTAACTGGATTAGAGCTTGGGTTATTCTAATATAATTGACTTCTGTACATTAAATCAATTTGAATGGAGGATGTCTGTTGATGAATCCCCAGTCGGTTCTCTTCTGTGAAGTGGAGGCTGACTGGAAGGTGCGAGTCCTAGTCAGTTGAAGGAGAAGTGCTTTGGGATGGGACTGAGATGTAGCCCTGCTCTAGATGGAGCTCACAAGCACTTGGGGGTGGGAGAGTATTTTTTCCATCATTCTGTAAACAGGAATATGTATAACATTATGCATTCAGTAAAGGAAGGCCAGCTGCACTCCACAGGTAGTAGGGAAGAATGTACTCTTGTTAATTGTGTATGATCGTTTCCCATCTCCCTGGATTCATTGGCCTGCATGATGTTATCTTTATTCAGACGGCTCCTCTAACCATGTTTACAACTATCAACCCTGTGATCATCCACGGCAGCCTTGTGACAGTTCGTGCCCTTGTGTGATAGCACAAAATTTTTGTGAAAAGTTTTGTCAATGTAGTTCAGAGTGTAAGTATTTGTTGCTTTGATGCAATTGCATGAGAACTAAATAGGCCTTTGGTCAGCAATTTAAAAAATCAAAAAGTGAGAACACAGGAGCACTCCCTTGTTTACTTTAGGAAATTCATCGATTCTACAGGTATTGATTGAGCCCCATACCTGGCCCCTGCCAGTGACCAGTCAGTTGCCTGGGTGTTGTGTGTCTATGTGTGTGAGGCAGGCAAAGTTGTATTAAAGGAATCCGAATTTTATTTTTTTCTTCTTTGATCATTTAAATTAAGTCATATTAAAGTCGGCACAGATTGTAAGAGAAATCTAGAAGGAGCTACCCACATAATTTTTGGGCACCAGAAGTTGTCAGAGTTTAGGAAGGTTTTAGTCTTCAGAATAAAGGAATGTAGCACAAATGTAGGGGATTATAATAATTGTTTAATGAAACTGCACATTAAGCTTGAATACTAAGGGAGTGTTTAGAACCAGGAGCTATTAGAATGGTCAAGGACCATGGATATTGTTTCATTCAAACCCTTTATTCACACTTACTTTAAATATATACATTATTTAACAAATGAAAAATGGAAGAACAACTCAATGGTGGTCTTTTTCAGTACAAACAGCTTTAACTTCGCTGTTAATACTTCCATTTCCTTGTCTATACAGTAGAGTAATAAGGTGGTTGTGAGGGTTGAGTCAGTCAGATGCTCAGTACAGCCCTTGCCACATATCTTTCTGCAAGTTCTTGCATATGGTGATGATTGTGATAGTCATGGTGTTGATGATGAGTGAAGAACCTCCACACCTCTCTCTGAAGGTCAAAACCGCTTTCCGGGATGCCGCTGCAAAGCACAGTGCAACACCAAGCAGTGCCCATGCTATCTGGCTGTCCGAGAGTGCGACCCTGACCTCTGTCTTACTTGTGGAGCTGCTGACCATTGGGACAGTAAAAATGTGTCTTGTAAGAACTGCAGTATTCAGCGGGGCTCCAAAAAGGTGAGCAACAAGTTGCTTCTGGAAGGTTGTTTTTAGTGATGCTAATCTCAGGATTGTCTTAGATGATTTCACTGGGGCAAAAAGTAAAAGTGATCCTTGAAAGGTACAACTGATAAGAGAGAAAGCGTTGATAATTTTCTCTGGGTAATGCACTCTGGGGCAGTCTCTTCATTCTAGAGAACACCATACTGTGTTGGTGGGAGAAACCAGCAAATTCTGAGAAGTAGCCATTCATGGTATCAGATTTGAAATAGGAGCTGTTTAATAGAGATTTGAATTTCTCTTTATCTAGTATCCTTAATGCAAATAAATGGTGATTTCTATCAAAACACAGACTCATTCTCATCAGATAGTATTTATAGGTTCCTTACTATGTAGGGTAAAAGATGAAATTTCCCACGGCAGGTTTTTATTTACTTAGTTCCTGTTTAATAACCTTGGAAAAAACCCAGCCAGGAATTATATATTTGAATTCTGGGAATTGTATGTAGGTAATTTTAACTGTATCAGTCAGGAAGTAATTATTGAGCAAAAAAAACTGCAACAACATGTATTTGGGAAATTTGTCTTTTTTTTTTTTTAGGGTAGATGATAGGTTTTTCTCTTCAGTCAGTTCTTCTTATAATAATAACTGACATTTATTAAGCATGTAAAAATAGCAGGCACTGTTCTAAGTGCTTTAGTGGATTTGTTCATTGATCTTGATAACTCTGTGAGTGAGGAATAAATGTTAACCCCATTTTACCGGTACAGCAAACCCAAAGTCACAAGATTTGTAAAGGAGCAGGAGATCAAATCCCCCAGGCACTCACTCCCATTAACCTGCTCTTATGCTGCGTGTGTGTGTGTGTGTGTGTGTGTGTGTGTGTGTGTGTGTGTGGGGGGGTGTGGAGTAGACATATCTTTGATTGTTGGACCATTTATTTATGATTGAGATCACACTTTTTACCAACAAGTCCCCTTCAACCAGCAGTTCTGCTCCAGGCAAAACACTGAACTTCTCTTTGTTTTGTTCCCTTGTGTCTTTAAACCAAAGTCTGTGTTTATGGCAGATAGCTGTACAGGGTGGCAGGTTTTTTGTTTTTGTTTTTAGCTGTGATTTTTTTCTCTTAGGCATTTAAATCATTTTACTCTAGGCAGTTATATATCCATTTAGGTCATTGGGTCACGGTGATGCTGGTTCAGTTTCTGATGGCAATACCCATTCAGACCTAAAAATCTCCATTTCTCCCCCAAACAACTTGCCATTGCACTGCTTCCTCAGTTTGTTCAGAAAGAGGGTAATACTATTGATACTGACATGTCCTCTTTGTAAGACATTTTTTAGCTCTTAAAAATGTTAAACTATGTAGATACTTTTTTACCAATTAGGTTTCATTTGCATAGCAATATTTAGCTATAATTTAGTTTCTGCACAGAAGAGTATTTGGGAAGTTCACCTCACAGGTGAGTGGTAGGATGTTCCAGAATAGGAATAGATTGGAAGCTTGAGTGATCAGGAAGCCTTTGTAAAGGTCATAAGAAAATTTTGAATGAAAGCATAATAATGAGCCATGTTGAAAAATTGGCATGTGTTTGGGAACACATCCCTAACTCTATAATTTACTGCAGTGATCATCTTGGCCTTTCTGCTGAAAATAGACTACTGGACTGACAAGATGATGATGCCACCTCTGGGTAGATTTTCATGTTATCCTGAGGAAGTAGGGTGGAAGAACAAATTTAAAAGAAAGCTGCTGTGGGCTTCAGAGGGAACAAATGCCAGTGAAGAATCGGGGTGTCCTTGGGGGCATCTAGAACTGGTAATAGATGTCACTTGACGGAAGTAGAGGGAAAGTTATGAAGAGGAAGGTGATTTGGAGGTGCCCTTATATTAAATTCAGGATGAAAGTAAATTACTTAAGAAAATCAAGGGCTGAGGAGACCAGGCAGCCAAAGTGCAGCAGTAATGCAAACAACCAACAGCACCAAAAGTTTTTTCTGTAAGACAGTGATACTTCTCTGCTCTGTAAGAAAAACATAATTTTCATACTTAGCCAGCCATTCTCAGCAGCTTTCACACTGACTGAAGGTATGTGTCCATTACTGCCTTAGAACAGGTCTGAAGATTGACAGCAATAGCCTTGTTTTTATTCTGTAGTCTAATTTGTCCCTAGTCCATCTTTACCCTCTTCTTTGATTATATGATTGTGTTTTCTTCTCTAGCATTTATTGCTTGCACCATCTGATGTGGCAGGCTGGGGAATTTTTATCAAAGATCCTGTGCAGAAAAATGAATTCATCTCAGAATACTGTGGAGAGGTAAGCACTGATCACCTATATTCAGGTGGCATTGTATATAACAACTTTTCTTTATTTTAGATTGATTTCATTTGGTAGGTCTGTGGGTTTGATTGGAAATGAATTGCCATAAACTGCCTTTTCAGCCTGGACTTCTGCAGGTTGTGGATTTGCATGCTTAGTAACAACTGGATGGTGCTGGGTGCGGTGGCTCACTCCTTCAATCCTAGAACTTTGGGAGGTTGAGGCAGGTGAATTGCTTGAGCTCAGGAGTTGGAGACCAGCATGGGCAACATGGTGAGACCCCATTGCTACAAAAAAATGCAAAAATTAGCTGGGTAGGGTGGTGCATACCTGTAGTCTCAGCCACTTGGAAGCTGAGGCAGGAGGATCACTTGAGCCTGGGAGGTTGAGGCTGCAGTGAGCCATATTTGTGTCATTGCATTCCATCCTGGGTGACAAAGTAAGACCCTGTCTCAAAGGGAAAAAAAATAACTGGATTGCTTTGATTCTAGCCAAATACAGCTTTTCTCATTGAGGGACAACAGGGAGAATAAGAGCTTTATCATAGTGTCCTGCTTAATCCACAACCTAGTTGATAAGGACCTAGAAACAACAGTGTCATTAGTTACTCACCTTTTAAATTGTTGCGTTAAAGAAAAATCATAGGGCTAGCTTCAGTTTGGAACCAACTCACCCAATTTTTGTGTTTCACCCCCTGGCCTTTGTTTTTGAGGTGAAGCTCTTACTGCCCAGGCTAGAGTGCAGTGGCATGATCTCTTCTCACTGCAACCTCTGCCTCCATCTCCACGGTTCAAGCGATTCTGCCTCAGTTTCCCCAAGTAGCTGAGATTATAGGCATGCACACCACATGGCTAATTTCATATTTTTAGTAGAGATGGGGTTTCTCCATGTTGGACAGGCTGGTCTTGAACTCCCGACCTCAAGTGATCCACTTGCCTCTGCCTCCCAAAGTGCTGGAATTACACGCATGAGCCAAACTCTGTGTGTGTGTGTGTGTGTGTGTGTGTGTGTGTGTGTGTGTGTATAACTCAGCAAAAAGACTTTTGTTTCTTACTTTCTCCAAGGATAATTACTTTGGGATGTGGAAATATTTCTGAGTTGAGGGTCCAGTGTGCAGACTGAATGGGAAAGAGAACTTGGCAGTAGTGACCCTTTTTGTTGAATATTCTCCAGAAGGTCCAGTATTCACTCTGTGAACTTTTGTGTGTTCTGTCAGGCTTGATCACCTTTATCCAAAAGAATTTTCTCCTGTGTCTTTCTCTTTAGATTATTTCTCAAGATGAAGCTGACAGAAGAGGGAAAGTGTATGATAAATACATGTGCAGCTTTCTGTTCAACTTGAACAATGGTATGTTTTTGAGCTGGGAGGCAGTGAGTTCCTCTGAATTGCATGTGGCAGCCTTTTGCTGCATGCAATTTCTGCTTCAGAAATGAAGGTAGAGGTCAGTGAGGTGACCGGAAGGAAGATCTCCACAAAGGCATTGGGGCTGCTTGCTGGAAAGGAACTGGAGCAAGGAATTCCTCAGGTAGCAAATACTAGGAAACGGCCTCCAGAGTCCCAGCCATCTGTGGATGGGGCTGCACCAGTCTCTGGCTGTGAAGGGGACATTGTGCTCTGTTGCTGCTCACCTCTTGTGTTCCAGAAGCTCAGCACACCTCCTCCAGTCAGTGCTTCTGACCAGGGGGGAGCACTGCATTTGAAAGCATCTTCCAGACTTCCCTGGATATTCTCAAAGGACTGAGAGGAAAGGCAGCTTCTTGCATAGCTGATATATGTTCTAGGGTAGAATGTAAGGCTATAGGGAGTGTTTTGGTGGGATTATATGAAAATGGAGGTAGGCTTAACATGTAAGATACTCAGAGAAACTGTTAGTTGGAAGTAGTAGGTTTTTTTCTAAGAATGCTTCATAGACATTAAAATTAATTTTAAATGTGAAAATGCCTATTCTTGAAATTTGGAAGAATTTAGATTCTGGTTTTTTGGCCATGTTTTGCTCAGTCAGATATGTTTATAGTTGATAAGTAATAGCTTTTGAATCAGATAACCATCTTGAATTACAGGTGATTAAATTTAACCTGGAACAATAAATAGTATGTTCTTCCAAATGTCATTTCTTACATAATGAAGTTGGTTGAATGGTTTATTTGTTTTTGCAGGCAAACCCTAAAGAACTATAACCAGTTGCATTTACAGAATCATAATAACTTGATTGACTTAAAACTGAAATTCACTGGGTTGTGCATATTTTTTTTTTTTAGATTTTGTGGTGGATGCAACCCGCAAGGGTAACAAAATTCGTTTTGCAAATCATTCGGTAAATCCAAACTGCTATGCAAAAGGTAGGTACCTTTGAAGTCAGAATTGGAGCTCCCTTTTCCATCCTGTGATGATGGACTTGAGTACTTCCGGGATACTTTGTTATGTGAACAAGTCGGTAACCACTCGTTGCTCTTCATGCTCACTAACACTGGTCTCTCTCTTTCCAGTTATGATGGTTAACGGCGATCACAGGATAGGTATTTTTGCCAAGAGAGCCATCCAGACTGGTGAAGAGCTGTTTTTTGATTACAGGTTGGTAAAGTAAATTTCTAGCATGATCTCTAAGGGCTTTTTCTACTGGATTTTGAACTCTGGACAAAGAATATTTTTTAGATGTGCTGTCTCTGAGGTGTGGGGTGAATTCTTTGACAGGTCAGTATTTGCCATGGCCATTAGTAGGGAATTAGGTTACACTTTCCTCTTAAGTATTCATTATCCATTTATTTGTTATACAAGTCATGCTTATTTTAAAAACAGAATAAAATCCATGCAGAAAGCCCCATTTCTCACCCTGCTATTGACAGGTGGGTGAGTCGTAGACCTTTTCATATCATGCTGCATGCTTGCTTGTGGAACATTTTCCAGAGTAAATGTGATCACACTGTCCTGTAGATTTTTCTGCAACATGGTTTTACTTGACAGTATACTATGTATATCTTTACTGATTAGATCTACTTACTTTATTGCTTGCTACGATACTTACTACACAGGTTATTATTTTAAAAGGTGCTGGTGGCAAATTGCTGCTTGGTCACTGTGGGTTGTTTCTGGGGGGGAGGTGCTGGCACTTGTGAGCCACCGATGGTTTCTAACTGTATGGTTAGGCATTAGGTTGCCAGTTGATGCTGTCAAGCTCTGTGGGATAAACTTAATACAGATTTAAGTGCAATCAGGTGACTGTCTAGTTCATGAACTCCTTTGGCCCCGTATACATCCCATCCAGAAGCTCTTTGTCAGTACTGAGTTCTTGCGTATTCGGATTGGCGTTTAATGTCTGCTGCACGGCCGAGAGCTCTCAGTGAGGCAGATGAGGTCTGAGTGAAAGGCCCCCTTTACCAAAAGGCCACTTCATTCCAGGCCTGCTGTGAATGAAGAGTGGGGGGTGGAGCTGGGGTTGGAGGTAAAGCTATCCAGCTTCCTTGGGTTGGCCCGGTGGTCCCACCCCGCAGATGGGCTTCTTGTGCTTCTTCCTGGGTGTCTGCTGCACTCTAGTTCTTTTTTCACTGGGGGAGTGACTGACAGCTGTTCTTGGGCCCTCTTTGCTGTGGTCATCGTGCTTTCCAGACCATGGTTCTGTTTTGCCGTTCAGCGTCAGGCCCATCATTACGTGCACCCGCTTTCCTGGGGCCACTTGCTTCAGAGGCTTAGGGGAAGGCTGGGCAGAGCTCTGGCCAGGTTTGTTCACTTCGGAACTTGGCGGCGTCTCAAGTAGATGGCCAGCAACATAGACCAATGCATTGCTTCTATGAATGCCCTTATGCAGGCAGCCATGTAATTGTTGGATGTATGTGTATATGTTTTTTTTTTAAAGACATTTGAATGCACTCACTGTATTGAGCAGGCTTTGTTAAGTCTCAGCACATGTTGGATGGGGGTCATCCACCAGACGTGCTTTTTCCTGTTGTTTCAGATACAGTCAGGCTGATGCCCTGAAGTATGTTGGCATCGAAAGAGAAATGGAAATCCCTTGACATCTGCTACCTCCTCCCCCTCCTCTCTGAAACAGCTGCCTTAGCTTCAGGAACCTCGAGTACTGTGGGCAATTTAGAAAACAAAAATGCAGTTTGAAATTCTGAATTTGCAAAGTACTGTAAGAATAATTTATAGTAATGAGTTTAAAAATCAACTTTTTATTGCCTTCTCACCAGCTGCAAAGTGTTTTGTACCAGTGAATTTTTGCAATAATGCAGTATGGTACATTTTTCAACTTTGAATAAAGAAATACTTGAACTTGTCTTTGTTGAGTCATCTCTCACTGCTTTCAGGACTGTAACAAACAAAACACTTTTAAATTTAACTCGGGTTTTTTAGTTGTCTTCATATGAATCTTGATTTAACAGATACTGCTTGTGGATACGTGGAGGATGGCCATATATGAAGAGCACTACCGTGCACCCTAAGGGCTTACCCGGTAAAGGGCTGGATCTTACAGGCAAGACCAGGGTGGGTACGTTCCAGTCAGCTGTGCAACCTGAAGAAAGTGATGTAACCTCCAAGTCTGTTCCCCATGTATAAACTGACTGACCGAGTAGACTTCAGGGATTTTTAAGAACCTTCCTAGTTCTAAACTCCATTACACTAGAGTTTTTCAGAAATACAAGATAAGTTGGGATTCCTTACCTACTTACAAAAGGTGACAGGTATAAAACCAAACTGTAGTTTTATATCTTCTCAAAGAGGAGGTAAAAAACACAAAACTCTAAAAGTGTCAAGGAAACGACATTTACCTTGCATGCCTTGTGATAGTGTGGTTGGTTTCAGAATCTGAGGTCACTTCCCCTCTCCTTTCTCCAAGTACATTCACCAACATCATCGTGGGACCCTCACAGCTGCTGCAAACCAGTCCACACCGTTACTTGGCAGTTGCCTTTTCTATAGTTAGATCAGATAGTAACTTACAATACTCTATTTACTTAATGTGAAACCTAATTAAGGTGACTCACCTTGCTTTCCAATTCCACAGCATTTGCAAGATCAGGTCTCCATCACATCAGTGCACAGGCGCAGCAACTGAGTCCTCCAGTGAATCTGTCACTTGATTTGGGATTGAGGAGATCCTGCCTCAGCCTTGTCCTATGTGTTGCTTTTAGTCTCGTGCACATCATCTTAATGATAGTGCTTATCTATTTTATGTCTAAATAACTATCCACTCTCCAGCCAAAAAAACGGTACCATCCACTTAAGAGCTTGTTGCCCTGGATGCCCTCATGTTCCACCCTCGGGACTCAGCAGGACCCTAGGCAAAGTGGGCAGCTGTCAAGCTCCCGAGGCAGTTACTTCGTTATTTGGGTTAGGTCATTCTCTAGACGCCTCAATGGCTTTGCCTAGGCACAGGCAAACGGAGCCCATCTGTTCATCATTGCATGTAGGCCTGTTCATGAGACCCCAAAGATGACTCGGCCCAAAAGTTCCTGCTGACATGGCTCATTCCAGCCACAGCCCCCAGTCTATCCGCAGAGGAACACTGGGAAGTGGATCTTTGAGGCCTGCCGTGAGCTCAGTGTACCAGAGTCCCAAATGCACTGGAAAGTGGCACTGGTGGAAAGCAGTTTTTGAGTACTGTCTGGTGTATTTTCAACGCACAGCCAACTTCTTATACCATGATTTGAATTGTACTTCTCTAAATGACTATTCAGTGACTCCCATGAACACAGATTTTCTGAACAGAAATCTTTGAGTTAATAACCCATTTAACCTATGTCAGGCTTGTCTGGTCTGTGGAGAGCCAGCTGCATGCAGTCCAATACAAATTTGTAAACTTAAAAACATTGAGGCTTTTCTTTCTTTTTTTCAGACAGGGTCTGGCTCTATTACTGAGGCTGGAGTTCAGTGGTGCGATCTTGGCTTACTACAACCTCCACCTCCTGTGTTCAAGTGATTCTTGTTTCTCAGCCTTCCGAGTAGCTGGGATTACAGGCACAGGCCACCCTACCCGTCAGATTGTTGTGTTTTTGGTAGAGATGGGGTTTAGCTATGTTGGCCAGGCTGATCTTGAACGCCCCAACCCCGCCTCCGCAGGTGTGACACTGCGCCTGGCATTTTTTTTCCCCAGCTCATTAGCTATTGTTTGATACACACATAGGCAGCACCTCACCCAGACTGACTTCCATGGATAAAGCCAAAGGCACCTAGAAGCTATGCTAGGTTTCCATCATGCCCTGGTTCATCCCATCTCCAGTCTTCACTGTATCCATCCCAGGTCCTGACTTCCAGTTCTGCCCAGGGTGTTCGGCAACTCTACCAAAAGTCAACCCAATGTAACCCACACATTTTAAGCTTATAGATAGGTTATCAAGACTGGATCCAAAATGTTAACATTTTGAAAACCGTATTCTGTTAAATAATTCTTAATGGAACTAGTTGAAATAATTGCCTATTACAATTCCAGTGAGGGCTACACATGGATGCTTGGTATTTTAGAAGTGGTCCACACTCACGTGTTTTGGTGAGCGCAGTGTTGGGGCTGCCCCTGCACAGGGTCATGAACTGGACAGATGAGTGATGAGGGTATAAAATGAACCTGGGCAGCCAAGTGACTGATTCCTAGAAAACAGGAAATTGTCTTCATCAGAAGTGGTGGGGGCATTCAATTCAAATAGCTGAAGGCCAGCAAGCCTGTTTTCCAACTGGGGATGGTAATTCTAAATTTCAAAGGAAAATTAGGTACCAGTATTCATCAAGGAGCAGCATCTTAAAATGCTGTCAGTAAAGATACTTTACAGGCACCTGTTGGTCCTGTAACAACTGTTCTCTTACCCTATTATGTGGGGCTGATCTTCAGATTCCTGTCTTGTAGCTGCCTGGCCAGCAGCCCAAGTATATACCCCATGCTTAACAGACCCCAACCAGACTTACCCTCTGGGCGCTGAGATCAAGGTCCTCCCTTGCCTTGTTCCCTCAGGCCACAGGGATACATCTGTAGCCTGTGCATCTGGTCTTAGTGCACAGCCTAGCTCTGATTAAACCACACTGAATGTTTCTACAACCCAAGGGGTAAAATATTCATTTCATAAAATGAGTTAAAGTTGTCAATAGATTAAACCTTGATTGCTGTGATGCTATTTCCAACCTTTTTGGCCATCATTCCAAGATAATAAGCCTTGGTCCCAGCGGGTAACAACCACACTGTGTAGACCCCCACTAGGATTCGGCAGCCCCATATTTTTGGTGTTGGAAAGAGGCTCCCCCATACCTCAAAAAAGGGTAAAATCAAGAGTGATAATGTGAGCACTTCTGGCGTTGGATTAGTTCAGTGATACCGGCCTTGGTGATTCTTTGTAAACAATTTTTTTTTCTTTGAGATGGAGTCTTGCTCTGTAGCCCAGGCTGAATGAAGTACAGTGGCACCATCTCAGCTCACTGCAACCTCTGCCTCCTGAGATCAAGTGATACCCCTGCCTCAGCCTCCCAAGTGGCTGGGACTATAGGAGTGCACCATCACAACCAGCCAATTTTTGTATTTTTAGTAGGGATGGGGTTTCACCATGTTGGCTGGTCTCCAACTCCTGACTTCAAATGATCTGCCTGCCCTGGACTCCCAAAGTGCTACGCCTGGCCACAATTTTCACAATTTTAGCTAGTAACAAAAAGTCAATTGTATGTGTAATACCATGGTAATTTACAAGTATTTTCTCCAAGGAGAAGAGGGGCTTGAGAACTGGGAGGAATGTGGCCTTCCTTCTGGGTTCTAACTATGCTCCCGTGTAGGGACTGAACACCAGAGGGTTTCCAGAAGCCTGTGACTCTCTGCCTCTAAGCGACTATGGAAGACTACCGCTTATTAGACTGTCCTAAAAAAATTCCTTAGAGAATGTCTCCCTTAACGTTTCTTACCAAGGGAAATGCAGTCAACCTACATATAAGGGACATGTGGACCTAAACAGGTCTTGAAAAGCCAGTCAGCACAGTACTTACCCAGTGCAAAGGGGAGCAGGTAAAGGCCGGGAACCTGAAGGTGTGGGATGAACTCCGGACTCACCCATCCCTCAGCTCACCTTCACTTACCAGGGGGAATTTCCATGGGACCAAGACACTTACCCAAGTGCCTGCTTGATCCTGGAGGAACTGAAGAGACCAGCAAACTCATTGTGACGTTTCCCATCATTTGCAGGACTGCAATACGCAGACTCTGAAGGTGGGTCTGTGTTCTCACAGGCAGAAAAATGGCCTGGTTTGAGGAAAAGCAACAGGTGAGCTTCACTCCCAGTCGGTTTTGTGGAGTTCAGAATACCACCTGCTCCTGCCTGGCTTTCATACTGGAACTCTTCACTAGATTCTTTGAAAAAGAAGATATACTCAAAGAAGTGTGGAATCCATTCAATGCTGTTTATTACCGTTACTTTTTAACCTATGTAACCTTTGTGACAAGATTGCTTTGTTGCCCAGGCTGGAGTGCAGTGGTCTTGGCTCTCTGCAGCCCCAACCTCCTGGGCTCAAGCGATCCTCCCACCTCATGAGCGGCTGGGACGACAAATACGTGTACCACCATCTGTAGAGATGGGGGCTCCCTATGTTGCACAGGCTGGGCTCTCTCCAGGTGCTGGGCTGACTGGTGTGAGCCACTGTACCTGGCCCTATGTACCTTTTGAAACTAACCCGTCAGGTGTCTGAGTGTCCTGAGAAAACCCAGAACTTGGGCTTATTTTGTTAGCAATACCTTCCTTTCTCCACCCGAATAACCTGCATTCGGGCACAGGGATGGTGTGCTAAGATGTTCAAGATACATCACTTTGCGAAACCTGTGAGGTACCTGAAGCTTCTACGAGGAAAACAGTTACTGTGAGCAGAGTGGCATCCCTGAGCCTGGCTGGGAAAAGTCTCTGCTACCACTTCTCCATGTCTTCTGCCCTTTGGCTGGGAAGTGAGACAGAAGGCAGAAGCAACACTGAGGCGCAGGCAGGCAACATGTAGGGCTCCCAGTGGGGCGAGGGGGGAGGACTGCTCCCAGGATGCCCAGGATGTGGTCACATCTGTGCCAGGAGGGGATGGCGTGTGCATCCCCACGGCCCAGGATCTCCTCTCCTGGGGACATACTGGGGAAACAGTTCATTCTCAGGGAGGAATAACTTTTCTAACAAGCCAAGAACAGGGTCCAATTTGCCAGCAGGCGCCTGAAAAGCAAGAGAACCTCGACACCCTGATGTAGTGCTGGCACGAGGGTGAGTCCAGGGAGCTTCACCAGTCAAAGCTGACGTTTCAGTCTGTCAGCTCCTCACAACCACCTGCTAGGACTGGAATGGAAGCGTGAACCAGCAGGCTGATACCATCCTGTATCCATACTGCTCCACGCCAACCCAAACTCGGGCACTAGAGGCTGACGGTGATCAGGGATCCTGGAGCCCAGACACTCACCTTCAGTCCTACCTCCTCTACCCCCTAGAAGGCAGCTTCTCTCACCTTGCCTGTTTCCCCACCTGCAAACAGGAGGATACTATTTCCTGCCTAGTTTGTCGAGTCAATGTATGGTCACTGACTCACTGAACACAGTGACACACTGCATTCAAGTCACCACAGGAAGTCACAAAAATAAGCATGATTTTTAAAAAAGATTACACAGGGCCTTAATTTTGAAGATCTTAAAAATTTTCCATGCAAAGAATACAGCCTTTTAAACTATAGGAAGACACTGGGAATATAAATGTGCACAATCGTTATATCTTTTATTTACATATAGAAATTAGTAAAACTTAAAACAAAACCAAATGCGACTTGTACAGAAATCCTTTAATTTTCTTTCTTTTCACACATTAAAAAATGAAACACACTATACAAATGGTTTTCCATAGCAGATTACACGTGGGTCCGTTCAGACTTGCTCTCAAAGTGCTGCCAACGTGACAGGTGCTGCCAAGGTGACAGCGGCGACCCGGGGAGCCCCTGTACTGACTGAGACGCGGTAGCATGCAGCCCTCGGCAGGAGGGTCAGTCCCCGCTCTTCTTAAATTAGGGTAAATGGCATTGGTGTCCGTATTTACAGACTTGAAATGTATCAATCCTGAGCAGTTCCGATGTAAATCCGAGACCAGCTGATGGAGTCTTGGTCTCGGTTTTAAAAAGGGAGGTCCATGGCGGCAGGCTGGCTGCTATGAGCTTGAGTTGTTTCCATTCTTTCCAACATGAACTATTTGCTGAGGGTCACCCAGACCTCTCCAGAAGGGTTAAGCCAAGTAACTGTAGGTGTCCTTTTCACCATCAACTCGCTCCAAATATTCCTTCTCAATTAGAATGTCAATGCATTTCTGGGTGTTATTTTTAAAAAGGAAGAGGTAATGAAAGAAAAGAAAAACACAAATTATCATCAGAACAGAGAGAGGCCGATGGGATCTCCCCACACTCAGAGCTCAGTGGGGAGCAGTCCCCCCCACCCCAGATCTGTTAGCATTGAGTTTACATCCTGGGCAGCTAAGCCTTTGTGCATGGAGTTCCTTCAATTTCCATTTCCTTAACACTTGCTGAGAGTGACTTACATCCCTCCAGCACCCACCCCAGGAACTGGAGTCAGGGGCTATGTGAGCCATGGGGGCCACAGTCTCCCTTTCTACCCAAGTCTGCTCTGCCTCTGGGCACGACTCCGTCTCACAAGAGGCCATGAACAGGGAACAGGAGACTGCAGAGAACCCCCTGAACAGCATGAACAAACTGGCACCTGTGCGAATGTAATCCAGGAGTGACACTGGGCTGTCTGTTGTGGAGTCACTGCCAGTGCCACCCCTGAAGCTCTCCACTGGCTGTGACTTACCCAAGTGGTTTCAGAAAGGAAAGTCCTGCTTAGTTACCATTTTAAACAAGCCCCACCAGAAATAAGCCAAATGTCAATCATCAGTGGGCTACACAAAGGGAGGCATGTTCCCACAACAAAGCACCATAGGAGAAGTAACACCGAACTGGGGCTTCACGATACCGCAACACGGGAATCTCCTGAGATAATGTGAGGAAATTCCTACCAGGCACGGGAGTGTGCGCTCTAGAATCTATTTATGTATCAGGAAAAGCAGGCAAAACTGCTTGGCGGTGTCAGAAGACAGACAGCGATTTTCTACGGGACCACAGGTACTGGCTGGGGCGGGCGGGCTTCCGGGATGCTGGTCATGTTTTAATTCTTACCTGGGTGCCGATTGCACAGTGCACTGACTTTGTCAAAGTCATCAAGCTGGTGCTTTATCATCTGTGCACTTCTTTGTATGTGTGTTTCAACAGAGTTAAACTGAAGCCAATTTTCTTTTGTAGAAATCCTCTACATACAAAGGAGCCAGCTCCCTTCTTCATGCTACAGCAACCAATCCACTTTTTGCTACATCTTTTATCTTCTAAATTAAGGAAGGCATGTGACTGCTACATAAGTCCTGTACCTTGATCACAGGGACCCGAGGTTTGAACCTGGAGGACAGCTGAGTGAGGACCTCGCCAAGTAACTGCTGGTGTTTGAGAACCTTCCTCATCTTCATGATTCTCACGATGGCCGCCTATGCAACCAGACAAGGAAGAAGAGGTGGTTAGAGCTGTAACTACTTAGCACTGTTAAGGACAGCCACGCAGAGGCTGCCAACGTCTGTCTCTCTGCACAGGACCACAATTTCCTCACAGGTGACAAGCGCCCTGCAGGTGAGAGGAGCGGGAACCAATTCTACCTGCCCAGGTTTCAACCCGAATGTGGCAAACACTAAAACGTCTCTCTCTGTCTTTTGAGCTATTTTAACTCACATAATTTAACTCAACCATAAAGGATTTAAAAAAGGAGAAAAAATGAAATCTTCCAGGCCATAGAAGCTGCCCACCCTCCCCACTGAACGACTCTCCTTCCCCCTCATTTCAGTTTAACCTGCCACAATGTTTGCTGTCCAACATTTACAGCAAGAGGACTGCCCTCGTTTGCCTGGTGACATGAAGTACTAATTCAGATAACAAGGCCCTGGCTCTCCACCTTGCCACCTTCTGTCACCACAGACGCATTCATGCGGCAACCACTCCAATCGCCCCCATGCGTGGCACAGGCACGCAGGTGAAGTCACCTGAATCAGAAGTTTGCGGTCTTCCTCGATATTTTTGTGTGTGGTTTCTTGTTCCTGCTTCTGTTCGGTTTTCATTGGTACATTGATGTTAACCCTTAATTTCTTACTATCAAGAAAATTGAGGAAACCAATCACTATTATGTTAAAAGGCAGGCAATGAAGGCTGTTTTCTATTTCTCAGCCTTCAAGAAGTGTTCTGCTTCCCTAGACAGAGGGTAGAGTGTTGATTTCCACTAACTGTGAAAATCTCCTCTACCCAGCACTGGGCAGAGTCCCATCATAGGGCAGTTTCCTACTTTGCCATTAACAGCGACATCCATGTTACAGAAAATCCAGGTCCTCAATAATTTGCTCTCCCAAATTTTGTCAAGTGAAATAAAATCAAGCCACTTGGACATCAAGGTCCAAACTTTCTTGGTGCGTCCTTTAAGGAACTACTTGCCAAACAAAGAAAAGGCCCGGAAGTCCAGAGCTGGAGAAACATCGAGGCTGAACGGAAGCGAAGGCCCATCTCACACTCCCGAGAAGTGTTCTCAACACCTCAGCCCTCCTTCAGCCTCACAGCTTTAGGACCCCAGGAATCCAAGGGCATCAGCCTGAGGGCACCCACACAGCTTCATACTGAGTCTCTGACCTCCCCCGGTTCATAACAACACTGAGAGATGTACTCGGGCTACCAGGGGATATGTCTATGGTCTAGGTTCATCTATTTATTAGATTTTTCTTACTTTTTATAACCAAGGTATAATTTTATTAAGGTATCTGGCTTCAATTCCACCTCATCAACATTTGCATTTTCATCTTCCAAGACCTATAAGAAAACAACTGTTACTATATAATCTGAGGAAAAGGCCTTCCTCTAGTGTAGGATAAAAAAGTGCACAAACCTACCAATAACTTCGACTTTAATAAAATCTGTAGGACTTGCGCCAAAATGTCCTGCAGTTAACGAGAAAAAGAGGAAATTAAAGGGAAAATGCATTTTTCTTTGCAATAACCACCACAGGCAACCTCACAGTCCATTTTTCCATTAAAAAATAAAATCACCCCAAAAGAAGAATATGCTGAAAAGTTGGTACTTCTTAGAGGTTCGCTAAATTTACTGCTTCCTTCCACCCTGACTTCTAGAAGTGAAATCAACTCTGGCCTTGACCACCCAATAACAAAAATGAACAATTCTGTTACACTTAAATCAGGTTGAGTAACCCTTGTTTGAAATATTTGGATTTCAGAATACTGCACTGTATTTACTGATTCAGCAGCCTGGATTAGAAAGTCCAAAATTTGAACTGCTCAGATAAGCTTTTTTTTTTTTTTTTGGCAACAATGTTGGTAATCAAAAATTTTCAGATTCTGGAGCATTCTGGAATTTGGGTTTTTGGATTTGGGACTTTGAACCTGTACTGGAAACCATGCACAACTTATTTCTTCAATGAAATCTTCAGGAACCTATTCACTTCTTAAGTTCATGACAGCTCATCTTGGACACTGATAATCATAAAAGAAGAATGACTATGAAAGTCATCCAAAATGACTTTCCTAACTCATGGTCCGTAAGACCAGTATTAGCCGGACACCAAAACCAAACGAACACCATGAGAAAACAACAGATCATTATCCCTTATGAATATAAACACAAAACTCGAGAAAATACCACACGCTAAACCCAACAACCGTGGTATATATACCACGACCAAGTGGGATTCACCCAAAGAACACAGTTCAACATCAGTGCAATACCCCATATTACCAGACAAGAGGCACATCTCGAGAGAGCAGAAAAGAAATTTTGATGCAACACTTTATCTTGATTAAAACGGCAATAAACTAAGAATAAAGGAACCTCTTTAGACTCATGAAAGACATCTAGGAAAAACAGCTAACACCATCACTGTTTAGCACTGCAGTAAGACAGTGAAGGACTGGAAGCTTTCCCACTAAGCAGCAACGAGACGAGGATGACTGCCCTTACCACATCCATTCAACAGTGCACCACAAATTTTAGCCAGAAGGATCAGGCAGAAACAAAAACAAACAAAAGAGGAATCAAAGGCAGCCAAACAGAAAAGGAAGAAGTAAAACTGCATTTGTAGATGATGACTGTGTATCAAAAAACTCTAAAGAATCCCCCCAAAACTATTTGAGCTAATAAATTAGAGCTAATAAAGCTTTAGCAATGTTATAGGGTACACAATCAAAATACAATAATCAGTTTTATTTCTACACATTAGCAATGAGCAATCAGAAAGGGGAAAGAGGCTGGCACAGTGGCTCATGCCTGTGTAATCCCACCAATTTGGGAGGCCAAGGTCAGAGTATCACTTGAGCCCAGGAGTTCAAGACCAATCTGGGCAACACAGTGAGATCCATCTCTAAAAAAACCACAAAAATTAGCTGGGCATGGTGGCAAGCACCTGTAGTCCCAGCCACTCAGGAGGCTGAGGAGAGAGGATCGTTTGATACCACAGTGAGCTATGACTGCACCATTGCACTCCAGCCTGAGCAAATGTGAGAAGAGACCACATCTCAAAAAACAGAAAAAAAAAAAAAAAATGTGAAATTAAGAAAACAATTCTGCCAGGCACGGTGGCTCATGCCTATAATCCCAGCACTTTGGGAGGCCGAGGCAGGCGGGTCACTTGAGGTCTGGAGTTCAAGACCAGCCTGGCCAACATGGTGAAAACCTGACTCTACTAAAAATATAAAAAAAAAATAGCCAGGCATGGTGGCACAATACTCAGGAGGTTGAGGTGGGAGAATTGCTGGAACTCGGCAGGCTCCTTGCAGTGAGCCCAGATTGCACCACTGCACTCCAGCCTGGGAGACAGAGCAAGATTCTGTCTCAATTAAAAAACAAAAAAACAATTTCATTTACAATAACATAAAAATATCATAAACTAGGAATAAATTTAAACTAGTACAAGATGCATACACTAAAAACCATGAGAAACAGTTAAAAGAAAAGACAACCTAAATAAATGAAAAGACATCCCATGTTCATGGAGTGGGAGACTTAAAATACTGTTGAGATGGCAATACTCCCCCAAAGCAATCTATAGATGCAGTGCAATCCTTATCAAAATCTCAACTGTACTTTTTGCAGAAATGGACAAGCTGATCTTAAAATTCGTAAGGTAACCTAAGGGACCCATAATAGACAATATAATCTTGGGGGGGGAAAAAAACCAAAGCTAGGGGTCTCAATTTCAAGATTTACTGCAAAACAATAGTAAATAGTGTGATACTGGCATAGTACAGTTATATAGATCACTGGAAAAGGACTGAGAATCCAGAAATAAACCCATATACTTATGACCAATTGACTTTTGACAAGTTTGCCAGCACCAAACAAAAGGGAAAGAAGAGTTCTTGGCCTCAGACTAGGCAATGATTCTTTAGAAATGACCCAAAATCCCAAACAACAAAAAGAAAACTTAGATAAAACAGGCTTCATCAAAATTAAAAACGTGTGTCTATAAGACAATCCATAGAATGGAAGAAAGTAATTATAAATTACATATTTGATAAGGATCTAGTATGTAGAATAAAAAAAGAATTCTTACAATAACAAAAAAACAAATAACCCAATTGAAAAATGGGCAAAGAATTTGATCAAACATTTCTCCAAAGAAGATATATAAATGACCAATAAACACAAAAAAGACTCTAAACACCATTAGCTCTTAAGAGAAACTCAAGTCAAAAACCACAAGATACTACTTCATATCCACTGGGATGGCTATAATTTTTTTAAAAAAGGAAAATAACAAATGTTGGTGAGGACATGGAGAAACTGAAAGCTGTTCATATGCTGTTGGTGAGAATATGAATGGAAACAGCCAATATGGAAGTCTGGCAGTTTCTCCAAAAATTAAGTTATTACATGGCTCAGCAATTCTATATCCAAGAAAACTGAAAACATGTATTCATAACCATACTGTTCATAATAACCAAAAGGTGGAAACAACTCCATTGTACATCAACTGATGAACAAATAAAATGTGGTCCATCTACACACTGAGTTTGGCCACAAAAAGAAACAAAGTGCTAACACATGCTGTAACATGGGCAAACCTTGAAAACAGTACACACCAAATGGAAAAAAGCAGGGCCAGAAAGTCACATGTTACATGACTTGTTTTATATGAAATTTCTGGAGTAGGCAAGTTGATAGTAAATTAATGGTTGCTGGGGCTGGGGGTTAACGGGTAGTTACTGCTAATGGGTGCGGGTTTCTTTCTGGGGTGATAAAACATTCTGGAATTGGATAATGGTGGTAGTCGCATAAGCTAGTGAATATACTAAAAACCACTTTGTACACTTTTAAAACAGCGACTTTTATGTTATGTGAAATTGTGTTATCTGAAATATACCTCAATAAAAAATATGAGTAGCAGGAAAAATAACACTAAAGTTAAGCTTAGTTAAAGAGCCTAGCTGGAGAAACAGTTAAGAACTGGTTAAATGAATGAGAGAAAAGCATATGGGTGTGTGTTACACTGAGTTTTACTTTTAGGAGACAGGGTCTCTCTCTGTCACCCAGGCTGGAGTACAGTGGCATGCTCATAGCTCATGGCAGCCTTGACCTCCCAGGCTCAAGTGATCCTCCCGCCTCAGCCTCCTGAGAAGCTGGGACTACAGGCATGTGCCACCATGCCTGGCTCAACGCTGAGTTCTAAAATTAAGCTTTTTGTAATGCGTATTAAAATCCCGGAATAAGAGCATATTTATATTCATGAGGTAAAACATCTATTTCAAATTAGCGATGCCCTTATCGTTCCTAACAATATCCATGAGAACGAGGAAATGGCAACTTGATGCGACGAAGAGGCTGCAGTAAGATACCATTTTAATCTGCGTGCTGTCCGTCAGCTGCTGCACGGTGTAGGCATCCTCCGTGTTGTACTGAAGCAGGATGGCCATCTGGAATGTGGATGCCTTCGAGGCCCCCCATGTAAAAGGAAAAGGAGGAACGTTTAAATACATGGAAACACCTCCAAAAATATACAGCCTAAGTTTGAAGAACTTATTTATGAAACAAATTCTTTAAACAAGTACAAAAAAAAAGCAGATCTATTTAAAAGGGAATATGAGATGTGGCGATGCCACTGCAATGCAACATTTCCCAAAGTGAAGTCATTTTCCATGTTTTCAAACATTAAAATAATTTGAATTTTTAAAAAATGTATTGTCTATGTGGATACATACTGCAGATATGTCCTCACTCATTTACAGAAAAGATCACATATTCACACACCTGCTATATATGGACATGTGTTTTTGTTTTTTTGTTTTCTTTTTTGAGACGGAGTTTCACTCTTGTTACCCAGGCTGGAGTGCAATGGCGCGATCTCGGCTCACTGCAACCTCCGCCTCCTGGGTTCAGGCAATTCTCCTGCCTCAGCCTCCCGAGTAGCTGGGATTACAGGCACGTGCCACCATGCCCAGCTAATTTTTTGTATTCTTAGTAGAGATGGGGTTTCACCATGTTGACCATGATGGTCTCGATCTCTTGACCTCGTGATCCACCCGCCTCGGCCTCCCAAAGTGCTGGGATTACAGGTGTGAGCCACCGCGCCTGGCTATATGGACATGTTAAGCATCAATCTCCAAATCTGTTTTTGGCACACGGGCTAAGGAAAATTGTTTTATGGCACATTATTGATGTAACAACACAAATATCAAACTATATTTGGTTTATTAATCCTAAGTACTTTACTGTTAAAGTATGAAATGATAAGTGCATTAAAGTATCTTTTTTTAATTTTTCTCGGTTCACTGCAGCCTCTGCTTCCCAAGTTCAAGTGATTCTCTTGCCTCAGCCTCCCAAGTAGCTGGGATTATAGATGCCTGCCACCATGCCCAGCTAAGTTTTGTATTTTTAGTAGAGATGGGGTTTCACCGTGTTGGTCAAGCTGGTCTTGAACCCTTGACCTTGTGATCTGCCTGCCTCAGCCTCCCAAAGTGCTGGGATTACAGGCATGAGCTATGGCGCCTGGCCCTACATTATCTTCTAAAAGACAGGTAGCACGTATTGGTTCCTGATTGCTGAGTGTGTGCCTGCGAATAAACACCCCTGAGGACTCCTTCCTGTCTTCTCCCTCTTTTCTTGCATAATCGACAGCAACAAGTCGTGACCCATGACCGTCAATCATTGCTTGCCTAGGCAAGACCTTGGGCAGTGAAGAGAACAAACAAAAAACATCACATGCCTGTTTCGGGGAGGCCCACAGACAGTGGTGCTTCCAGGGCCGTGAACAGAGATACAAGGCAACGAGTGTGTTGCTAATGTTTTCTAGTGGGCTAGCTCTTGGCTGCCTTAACATGGCAGACACACCCTAGGCTAAAGCCTCCGCCATGTCAAAAACCAGGCACTGAAATTCCAGGTACTACAGTAGATCACACAGATTCTTCTTTGTATATTTGGGATATATAAAACAAAATTTCAATTGTATAGTTAAGAAACATTCAAGTTGATAAAGACCTCTGGAGCCAGCATAACAATACTATGCATTTTAACAATTTTAAATCAGAGTAGAGTTACCAAAAGTTTAAATTAATGAGCAGCTTGAGTCTGTAGAACCCACTGTGAAGTTTCTTAATATTTAAACATAGACCTGCAATTGTTCTTAGAAGTTGACCGGTGAAACCAGAGATTAAAATATGCCATTACTTGCAAAGCCCACTCTGCACAAAAGTGGAAGCACAAAGAACCTGGACTTTTTTTTTTTTTCTTTTTACTTTAAAAAATATCTAGAGATAGCGTCTTGCTATGCTGCCCAGGCTCATCTCAAATGCCTAGCCTCAAGCAATCCTCTGGCCTCAGCCTCCCAAAGTGTTAGGATTACAAGTATGAGCCACCACACCAGCCAAGCCTAGGCTTTAAGAGAAAAGACCTTAACTGAAATTCTGGCTCAGAAACATACAAGCTAGGATTCAGAGAAGTTCACTGAAATTAACCCAAGCCTCAGTCTTCTCATCTACAAAATGGACATATCCTTGGTTTCATAGTTTTCAATTAGTTTGTACTCAATATTGCTGTAAGCACTGAGTGTTATTAATGTGAGACTGCTCTGTCAAAGCTGTTATAGTGCAATGCACGCGACTCCAGCTTTTTAAGCCACTACCCAACACCTGATGTGTCAGGAAGGAGCCGTGCCAAACACTTCCTAAATACATCATTTAATTGTCACGTCAACTCCCAAGTATAAGCATTAACACCCCCATTAGTGGAGGAGAAAACTGAGGCTCACAATCATTAAATAACTTGCTCCCCAGGCAGAAAGAACTGGAATTTGGCTCATCTGACTCTTACAACTCCATGCTTGAAACTCGCCACTATTCCTCCAGAAGCTGCACTCTAGATTCTGCTGCTGGGTTGGCTGATAATGATTTCTATAATCTGCCTTATGATCACTTAGAATGGAAAACAATTTTGAGATATAAAGGTGATCTTACCTGCAAAGTGTATCTGTTTTTGAAGCAGTTAGTTACCAGTTCTCCTTTAGACAACTGATATAACCATGTCAGTTTTCGGCCACTGTGGCGGCTGGCGTAGAAAGCTGTGAATCGCTGGTAACTGCGTTCCAGCTAGAGGAAAGGACAGCGTTATATGGAATACAGCCCTCACGACGTCCTACAGGCAGCCTTTCTAAGTGAAATGCACTGTTCCAAGCTTACAGTGCAAAGTCAACGCTTACATGAAAGTAAAATACAAACCCAGGTGGTGTCTGCCTCTCTTGTAAAGCACTTTAAGCACTGGAAGGTACAATCTTAAAAAAGGTTTGTGCTTCAAGACCAGCAGGTTCATCAAGGTGTTCATTACAGAACGAATTACGTTCTACTTTACAAGATAAAGACAGGTCTGTAGGGTTGGAACAGACAGCCCACCTTTAGACACCCAGACCTGCCCCACCACACAGGGCTCTTCCCTGAGTGCTGCCCCTGCGGTTCACTGTGACACAACCAGTGGGCAGGAAGGACAGCTGCAGGCCTGTCCCCTTCCACAGCGAGACAGCGAAGGCCGCCCTGCCCCACCCTCCACTGAGCACTAATGGGACGGCAGACAAACCCGTCCTTACCTCTGATGGCAAGGCGAATGTACAAGACTGCTGGAAGGGCCAGGACCCGGAGCTCAGGACTTGAATGCTGAAATCCACTGGGGAGTGGAAGAGAGGGGAGAGTGAACATTCTGGAATCCATTAATTGGTTTATAAATTGAAAAAAATCAATAATTTCAAATGTGTTGCTCTTTATTAAAAAGCACATTAAATAAAAATCCTCCTTGAATATAAAATTAAGAATTGAATATTTTATTCAATTAAAATTAGCAAAAGGTGCAAAAGCCAGATATTCTTTTATTCCAAAGAGTGACAGTCTTCATTTTGCTTCCATCTTGGAATTCTGCTGTCACATGCCTGCCCTGCTTCCCCTCCTTTGCTTTTCTGTCCTGAATCACTCAGTCCACTCGAGCCATGCCTGTGCCTGCCAGGCCCAGCATCATCACAGCCCCAAGCTCACAGAAACTCACAAGCAGAAGACCGCGAACTTCATTACAGTGCGTATATCACTTATTACTGTGAAAAGACAGACGTGATCTATAAATTATAACAGTAATTTCATCTTCGCAGATAGTTAAAAAGCCAACTGACAGAACTGTCCAGTTTAACAATGGAATTGTATTTCTGGTTTGGAAAAAATAAAGTTCTCCATTTTTCATTTAAAAAGACAAAGATTATCAAAAGATGATGTAAGCAGAAATCTGCTATCCTACTGCTATCGCAAGACCTTAAAAACCAGCCCAGCTGCCACTCCTGGAGAAATGAACCCCGACACCCTGCCTCTACTGATCCCTAATCCCAATCTGAAGCCACAAGTCTTCAGCTTGACTGTTACCTACGCAGGCCAAGTGAGTGCTAGAACAGATCCAAGCTAAGGTTTTCAACAGGAAACCCAGCTTGTGGGTCCTCCCCTAGATCCCAACAGGTGGTGGCCTTGCCGTAGGAGAGCTGACAGTGCTTCAGGAATCGCCATCTCCTACTGTCACACAGGAGTTGGGGGAGGTGGGAAGCGCCTTTGGGAGGAATCTCCTGTTTCTCAGTTCTTGAATTTCTGACAAAGCCCCTCCCGTCTTTACTTAATACTTTGTCATTTCTTCGTTTGCTACAAAGAACTCTGCCTGTGAGAGCAAGGCACAGACACGCAGGTACTCACAGTCCAGGGGTTCGGAATTTGTCAGGTGCTTTTTGAATTGCTCGTTCAGATCTTTGCTCACGCCAATGTCTTGGAACATCCGCTGAAGTTTAGAGGTATACTCGAAACCACAAGCTTGCTGAAAAGAACCCAGGTAACTGTCTTAATTTGTACAAAAATACAAATGTACACAAGGGAATCTTAGAGAAATCACAGTACACCACATATACTTAACTATACGGAACTACTAGCAAAGCTAGCCACATTTTGTTCTATGTTACAGTATAAATATGCATGGATTAAAATTAACACACTCTCAAAAAACCCCACAGATCTATGTTGTACAGTGAAGTTCATACACACGCGATTTCTGGGCACGTAAGACCAAGGTATTCTGACACTATGGTAGAATACAACGATGAAATAATTTGTCACTATCTCTTACCAGAAACTGAACTGCGTCCCCCCAAAATCCCTATGTTGAAGCCCAAACCTCCAATGCGATGCTATTTGGAGGTGATGAGGTCTTGAGGGTGGGCCCTCATGATGGGATGGGTGTGGCTGTAAGAGATGCACAAGAGCTCTGCACTCTCTACACGTGAAGGCACAGCAAGAAGGTGGGTGGCTGCCTGCAAAGCAGGAAGAGGGCCTGCCCCAGGAGCCAAATCAGCTGGCACCTTGGTCTTGGACTTGCAGCTTCCAGAACTGTGAGAAACTATTTCTGTTGTTTAAGCCACCTGGTCTATGGTATTCTGTGATGGCAGCCCAAGCTGACAAAGATACCCACATAATTTCTGGTTAAAGTAAAATACACTCCAAGTCAAATAAGAGCACTTGACAGCACCAACACACAGGGGCGAGCTTTAAGAACTGTGCGATAGCAAAGTAACCGAGCCCAGAGCAAACGAAACCTCCGCTCAGCTCTGGGCCAGCACAACGTGTATGTGGTCTAAGGCCAAAGGTGCGGGAGGCAGGAGAGGCTGCACAGATGGTGAACAGAGCCCAGCCAGGCCTGGGTAGCGTGGAAGCTGTGGGGAAGGAGTCAGGAAGGCACTGGGGCCCAAGAGAGTAGAGCGAGAGGTGTGGGAGGTTTTCAGAAGAGCAGTGGCAGAGCTTCTTGTACAAACTCCTGCACAAACTCCTCTGCCTGCCTCATAACCTGTAGAGACTAAGAACTGTTTTAATACTGACTCAGAAGCTGCGATTTTTCAGGAAAAGATGAACTCACCTTTAACTTGGAGATCATGCTGGCTTCGGCATCGTCACTTGCACTGTTCTGATGGACGAGCCTCTTGGCCAGCATCTTCGCATAGAACTTCTGAAACACGTCTTTGTCCTCTATGTACTTGAAGACAACCATCTGGCAAAGTCACCGAGACAACACACTTAAGCAGCACACTCACAAGCCGACAGTGCAGAGCTGACTGTCACCGGCCACTCACAAGCCGACAGTGCAGAGACGACTGTCACCGGCCACTCACAAGCCGACAGTGCAGAGCTGACTGTCACCGGCCACTCACAAGCCGACAGTGCAGAGCTGACTGTCACCGGCCACTCACAAGCCGACAGTGCAGAGACGACTGTCACCGGCCACTCACAAGCCGACAGTGCAGAGACGACTGTCACCGGCCACTCACAAGCCGACAGTGCAGAGCTGACTGTCACCGGCCACTCACAAGCCGACAGTACAGAGCTGACTGTCACCGGCCACAAGCCAGGAGCCAAGATGTGCCCCTGGCTTTAGGCAGGTCTGTACGGCAACGTTTATGATGGCAAAAACTCTGCCCAGAGTCTTCAAAGTTTTGTGAATCTCTGAATTCACAGTGAGCTGGACTGACTATTAATGACGAAAGTACAAATGCTAAAAGTAGTAACTCAATTCAGGGAGTGAAACCATAGATTCAGAATAAAATCAATGACTACCACGTTTCACATTTCAGAGGCCCTCTATAAATAACATCACAAACAACTTGTGAAAAATACAGCCATTAAGAACAGGAACGATTATGAAGCACCTTACCACTTGATTGAGTGTGTCTTCTAGTTCTGCCTCCTCTGGGTTCTTGGAACTGGAAATTTTAAAAAGGTACGGTGTTTTAAAACGTCAGGACATTTAAACAAGCACCCCTTAGTCAGACTGCAAGTTCAAGCATTCAAAAGATCAGTTCTCATCAGATTAGTAAGGAGGAAGAGGGAAGGCTGACTTTCCTTACCTATAGCAAACTGGCAATCTCATACTATAACCTCATGACTGAAGAACAGGTTATGAAATAATCATTTAGAATATCCAAGATGGAAACCAACAGGAGATATTTATAAAACATTTCCAAAAACATTCTGAAGGAAGTTTTCCTTTAAGATCATCCACTTAAAGAAAATTGGGTCAGGCACGGTGGCTCACACCTATAATCCCAGCACTTTGGGAGGCCGAGGTGGGTGGATCACGAGGTCAAGAGATCGAGACCATCCTGGTCAACATGGTGAAACCCGATCTCTACTAAAAATACAAAAAATTAGCTGGGCAAGGTGGCGTGTGCCTGTAATCCCAGCTACTCGGGAGGCTGAGGCAGGAGAACTGCCTGAACCCAGGAGGCGGAGGTTGCGGTGAGCCGAGATCGTGCCATTGCACTCCAGCCTGGGTAACAAGAGCGAAACTCCATCTCAAAAAAAAAAAAAAAAAAAAAAAAAGAAAATTTAAGGAAATTCACTTTTCCAACTGCTTTCTAGTCTGCTGTAACTTAACTTTGAAGAAACAAAAAGGCGCACAGATTCCTTTCCATGACCCGATCATTTAAAGTAATGAAGGGGTTTCAGTTCCTACCAAAGTGCTGTTTGTAGTTTTATCTACAAAAGAGATGACTGTTCTCTAACAACTGAGTCATCCTATGAACAAACGATAATTCAAAGGTGACTTACAGGTAGATGAATTTTTGTACAGGCCTTTCTACAAGACTGCTTTATGAACAAGACCCCCTAATTCATATAAAATGAATCAGCCACCACACAACCTCTGAAGAGGTGTCTCCAACTTGAGAACAGTTGGTTCAGAAAGCCCACCCCTATTCTGCACACTCTTAGGTCAAGTGGGTTCCTCTTCCCTTGGAGCAGTTCAACTTAGTGCTGCCTGGATTCCACTCGCACAACGCATGCTGTTCAAGAGATGCTGTGGAAATGTCTCTGCCATTCTGTCTGCGCCAGTGACCTTAACTAATAAGCAGAAGGCTTGATGAGGGCCATTCATGAAAAGACAACAGATAAAAAGGACTCTAAGGCCAGGCACAGTGGCTCATGCCTATAATCCCAGCACTTTCAGAGGCTGAGGTGGGTGGATCACTTGAGGTCAGGAGTTCGAGACCAGTCTGGCCAATGTGGTGAAACTTCGTCTCTACTAAAAATAAAAAAATAATTATAAAAAAAAAAAAGCTACTCGGGAGGCTGAGGCTGCAGTGAGCTGAGATCACGCCACTGCACACAAGCCTGAGTGACAGAGCAAGACTCCTTTTCAAAAACAAACAAAAAATTTGGCCGGGCATGGTGGCATGCCTGTAGTCCCAGCTACTCTGGAGACTAAGGCACGAGAATCGCTTAAACACAGGAGGTGGACGCTGCAAGGTTGCAGTGAGCCGAGATCGTGCCACTGCGCTCCAGCCTGAGCAACAGAGTAAGACTGTCTTAAAAAAAAAAAAAAAGGACACTAAGTGTTCTGTCAAACAAACTGAAGACCCAATAGAGTATCTCCTTAGTCATAATATGTGGCCCCCCAAAAATGAAACCAAGTCATGAGAGGCATTCCAATTTAAAGTCCCTTTTCATTTCTGGAGAGGATCTCACCACAGTTGTTAAATTAACATTAAACCAGAATAAATATTTCTGTTTACTGCAATAAACAGGAAAAAAACCATAAAATACTCAGTTTCTCGCTGGCCTTGGGTAAACTGGGTTAAGAGAAAGCTGTAACAGACCTTCATCAAACGTCTTCCCATCATTTACCCAAAAGGCCACATCGTTTTTACACGGTTCTCTGTTAATACAGTAAATCACATCAGACTTGGTACTGCTGGGTTCCCAGGAAGCTGCACTATGTTTTGAAGAATTATTATGAACTGACAACGCTGGCTTGCTAATATTTTACTTCAGATTTCTGCAACTACATGCTCAAGTGACACTGGTTAGTACTGGATGAAGAATAACCAAGGTCCCACAATATAATGAGATGCTTCTGTTTTAAAAACAGCCAGGGGGAGGGAAAGCAGATTTTCAACTGGGAAGATGACGATGTTTAAGCATTTTCTCATAAGGGACAAAACTTGCAATTTAATGTATGTAAAATGTAAATTTTAAAGCTGACATTTTAAACAGGCATACTAAGAAAACACAGGGTCATTTAATACCTTTTCTTCAACAAGGAGTCACAGTATCGAGCCAGCAACTCAGGGGATTTACTGGATGACTGGGCCATCTTGGTAACCGCATTGTTGTTTATGAAGCGACCACAAGCCTGTGTTACACAGAGCACAGTTAGGGACAAACGCCCCATCCAGATATACTACAGCAAGTCACAACCGCCACACGCCTACCTTATCAAGAGCAGCCACAAAACCCGCGTCATTGTTGAATGCAGACATTACCAGGGCATTGTATTTTTTATGAACATCAAGCACTGTCTGTACATACATTTTGGGGTCCTTAAACGGGGGCAGAAATAGAAACAAAAGTTGTTTACTGCATATAAAATATTCTAAAAGCTATACATACCTTTACGAAGTTAAGAAATAAGATTAAGACATACTTTTGGTACCATCATTGAAACACACAGAACATTCTGATTATACATATAAAATAAAGACCAATATATTCTCCACACTCTAAATACTGATTTCGATCTTGTATTACAAACAGTGAAAACTCAAAGAGATCATGAAAACAGCATTTTCTAAGTGACAGCTCTGCTTTGCCAATTTCTCCTTGTTAACCAGTGCAATTCTGGACTGTTTGAGCTGGAGAAGAGCATTCAGCCAGCGAGGTGTGTCATCAGCAACGAGAGGGAAAGTGGGGTTCAGGGAGGGAGTCTGACTGCGGCCCCCATCCCCTGCAAACCGGAGACTCAGATCTGTGTGGTGCTGCTGGGGCCAGGGCCTGATAGCAGGGCAGGAAGAGGGGTAGAGCGTGGCGTGGGGCAGCAATGGGGCATCCCTGGACCAAGGAACAATATGGAAATGCAACAGGCCAGCCCGGGGGCTTCTGTGGCCAAAGGAAGGCAGCAAGAATGGAAGGCAAAGGAGACCGAGCTAAGTGCTCATGTGAAAAACAGTGCTGCTGCTGGGAACAGTGCAGGCCCCCACCATCCTTCATGGGACCGAGACAGCCCACACTGGGAAGCAGGTGCTGTTTTCATCCCCATTCTACAGATGAAGAACTGTCAGAGCTAAGTACACTGCCAGGAAATGGCGGCAGAGTCAGGCTTCGCTCTAGGCTCTGTGGGAGCCGGGCTGGGAAGGCTGGTGGGAGGGAGCTCTGGGCCACCCCTAGCCAAGCACAGACCCAGGCGCAGGGGCAAGCCTGTTTCCATCACTGATACACTCAGGTGCCAGAAACCAACACCCCCCCAAGTCTACCTATTCAGCATTATTAAGTGACATTTGATTGATTTGCTTGTTTTTATTATATATTTACATATTTTGAGACAGAGTCTCACTCTGATTGACTGACTGATTCTGAGATGAGTCTTGCTCTGTCCCCAGACTGGAGTGCAGTTGTGCAATCTCCAGGCCGCTGCACTCCAGCCTGGGCAACAGAGCGAGACGCCATCTCAAAAACAAAAATAAAAGAGTATCAGAGGCTTCCCGTTTTCTAAAAAAAGAGCTATATAATTAATAAATGCAAGGTTTATTATTATGAACATATTGTGATAAGATTATAAGTCCAATAATATATAAATATGGTCTTTTCCTGACATGAACATTTGATAAGAGGAAAGATTAAAAGGGAACTTAATGCAAAATAATTGCCAAATAATTAATATTGAAAGGCAATACTGCAGATATTTAATATTTCAAAATTACCATCTTAAAAAGGTTGAAACACATAGAGCGTTAACTGCACTACCAGACAGCCTTGCTCTGTTCCACGGCTACCCCAGACGTAGGGACCCTTCTTCTACTTCACCTGGATGGTCTTAATCTTCAGAGTGAAACAAAAGCACCTCCACGTTAGGCCACACCTTACTTCATATAAGCTTGCTTCTTTTAAACAATGAAAACATTTTCTGCTTGACCTAATTGTGATTTTGCTACTGAAATAGATACTGCTTCTGCCAATTCAGATTTTAGATCACCTTCAGATTTCGTGTCAAATTATTCCACAACATTCATATATTCTTCTCTCTGCCTTCCTTCTGTTACAGTATTTACAAAGTGCTCAGCCTACAGCAAGGATTCAAACACGGGAAAACGCTAGAATCGTTATTGGGTGGTTTTCAAAGAAGGTAACATGCAGGATCTCTTAACAAGTTAACAGCCCTACAAAGAATTGCGTGTCAAAACTGCCACTTTAAGGACTCAATTTGCTTCCAAAACTTGCTGGTTTTTTGTTTTATGTTTTTGAGACATTGTCTCGCTCCGTTGCCCCTGCTGGAGTGCAGTGGCGCAGTCTCGGCTCACTGCAACCTCGGCCTCCTGGGTTCAAGCGATTCTCCTGCCTCAGCCTCCCAAGTAGCTGGGGCTACAGGTGATGCCACTACGCCCAGCTAATTTTTGTATTTTTAGCAGAGACGGGTTTCACCATGTTGGCCAGGATGGTCTGGATCTCCTGACCTTGTGATCCACCTGCCTTAGCCACCCAAAGTGTTGGGATTACAGGCGTGAACCAAAACTTACTACTTTTTTTGGAAAACGACTCACAGTATTTATGTAAAGTATGTTATGCATATAAGCATTAATACTTATTTTATTTGCAAGAATGACTCACTCTCAGCAGCAGAGGGGCTACAGACCCACATGTACAAGGCTTCACCCACCTGGCGGCCTGACCCCTCAGCCTGCATGGCTTCCCTGCCACACTCCCTCACCCTCCTTCCAGAAAACGCCAGCCCTGACTTACTCCACACTCCGGAAAATGCCAGCCTTGACTTACTCCGCACTCTGGAAAATGCCAGCCTTGACTGACTTACTCCACACTCTGGAAAATGCCAGCCTTGACTGACTTACTCCACACTCTGGAAAATGCCAGCGTTGACTGACTTACTCCGCACTCCGGAAAATGCCAGCCTTGACTGACTTACTCCACACTCCGGAAAATGCCAGCCTTGACTTACTCCACACTCCGGAAAATGCCAGCCTTGACTTACTCCACACTCCGGAAAATGCCAGCCTTGACTGACTTACTCCACACTCCGGAAAATGCCAGCCTTGACTTACTCCACACTCCGGAAAATGCCAGCCTTGACCGACTTACTCCACACTCCGGAAAATGCCAGTCTTGACTGACTTACTCCACACTCCGGGAAATGCCAGTCTTGACTGACTTACTCCACACTCTGGAAAATGCCAGCCTTGACTGACTTACTCCACACTTCGGAAAATGCCAGCCTTGACTGACTTACTCCGCACTCCGGAAAATGCCAGCCTTGACTGACTTACTCCACACTCTGGAAAATGCCAGCCTTGACTGACTTACTCCACACTCTGGAAAATGCCAGCCTTGACTTACTCCACACTCCGGAAAATGCCAGCCTTGACTGACTTACTCCACACTCCGGAAAATGCCAGTCTTGACTGACTTACTCCACACTCCGGGAAATGCCAGTCTTGACTGACTTACTCCACACTCTGGAAAATGCCAGCCTTGACTGACTTACTCCACACTCTGGAAAATGCCAGCCTTGACTGACTTACTCCACACTCTGGAAAATGCCAGCCTTGACTTACTCCACACTCCGGAAAATGCCAGCCTTGACTTACTCCACACTCCGGAAAATGCCAGCCTTGACTGACTTACTCCACACTCCGGAAAATGCCAGCCTTGACTTACTCCACACTCCGGAAAATGCCAGCCTTGACTGACTTACTCCACACTTCGGAAAATGCCAGCCTTGACTTACTCCACACTCCGGGAAATGCCAGTCTTGACTGACTTACTCCACACTCTGGAAAATGCCAGCCTTGACTTACTCCACACTCCGGAAAATGCCAGCCTTGACTTACTCCACACTCCGGGAAATGCCAGTCTTGACTGACTTACTCCACACTCTGGAAAATGCCAGCCTTGACTTACTCCACACTCCGGAAAATGCCAGCCTTGACTTACTCCACACTCTGGAAAATGCCAGCCTTGACTGACTTACTCCACACTTCGGAAAATGCCAGCCTTGACTTACTCCACACTCCGGAAAATGCCAGCCTTGACTGACTTACTCCACACTCCGGAAAATGCCAGCCTTGACTTACTCCACACTCCGGAAAATGCCAGCCTTGACTGACTTACTCCACACTCCGGAAAATGCCAGCCTTGACTTACTCCACACTCCGGGAAATGCCAGTCTTGACTGACTTACTCCACACTCTGGAAAATGCCAGCCTTGACTGACTTACTCCGCACTCCGGAAAATGCCAGTCTTGACTGACTTACTCCACACTCCGGAAAATGCCAGCCTTGACTTACTCCACACTCCGGAAAATGCCAGCCTTGACTTACTCCACACTCTGGAAAATGCCAGCCTTGACTTACTCCACACTCCGGAAAATGCCAGCCTTGACTTACTCCACACTCTGGAAAATGCCAGCCTTGACTTACTCCACACTCCGGAAAATGCCAGCCTTGACTTACTCCACACTCTGGAAAATGCCAGCCTTGACTTACTCCACACTCTGGAAAATGCCAGCCTTGACTTACTCCACACTCTGGAAAATGCCAGCCTTGACTTACTCCACACTCTGGAAAATGCCAGCCTTGACTTACTCCACACTCCGGAAAATGCCAGCCTTGACTTACTCCACACTCTGGAAAATGCCAGCCTTGACTGACTTACTCCACACTCCAGAAAATGCCAGCCTTGACTGACTTACTCCACACTTGGGAAAATGCCAGCCTTGACTGACTTACTCCACACTTCGGAAAATGCCAGCCTTGACTTACTCCACACTCCGGGAAATGCCAGTCTTGACTGACTTACTCCACACTCTGGAAAATGCCAGCCTTGACTGACTTACTCCACACTCCAGAAAATGCCAGCCTTGACTGACTTACTCCACACTTGGGAAAATGCCAGCCTTGACTGACTTACTCCACACTTGGGAAAATGCCAGCCTTGACTGACTTACTCCACACTCCAGAAAATGCCAGCCTTGACTGACTTACTCCACACTTCGGAAAATGCCAGCCTTGACTGACTTACTCCACACTTCGGAAAATGCCAGCCTTGACTTACTCCACACTTCGGAAAATGCCAGCCTTGACTGACTTACTCCACACTCCGGAAAATGCCAGCCTTGACTTACTCCACACTCCGGAAAATGCCAGCCTTGACTTACTCCACACTTCGGAAAATGCCAGCCTTGACTGACTTACTCCACACTCCTGCTTGCGACTTGTCACTGATGGACTCCTTTGAACCAGTGATGTCTCTAGTTGACTGTAACGTTTCAGAATTATACTTTTCCCTATTTTCTCAAAATTTTTGGGCCATTTT